TTGAGTTGTGGTGCTTCACGAACACTTTTAACAGATAAAGATGAGAGGAAGGATAACAAGAACAAAAACAATAGGGCTTCAGGAGCATTTGCTTGGACTCCTAATAAGAACATACAGGTCAATAACACAAAAGTAAAATCATCTCACTTTACAAACCCACAGTGATTATAGCAGACACTTGTTTCAATGTTTCCAGAAACAAGAGGAGTACCCTGTGTCACTTGGTGCAGGCTCAGTTTGGACCTTTATGATTATATTTTTGAGTCAATTACTAAACACATACGTTTATACATAAAATTCCTCATCACAGCATGAAAGGTGGAAACATTACTAGTCTCAAACATAAGACTCAGACTTGTCCATCTTGGAAGCTGTCAAGATCCTGAATGCACCTGAAGTTTTTTTTCATTTTTGCTTTACTATAAGTGCACCCACAGACGGGCTGCGTAGGGTGGAGCACAGCAGGCTGTAAAAAGGGCTGTTTCTCACATCATCTGCACCCGTGAAATTCACACGCCAGGGTGTTGGCTTGTGTAAACGGTTTACAACGCTGGCACCGCACATCATCGTAATCATCGCGTAGATCATTCCTGATGATGTGACCTACTATCTCACTTTGTTCACTGCATTTAGCACTTGGTCTGCCAAGGAGAATGATAACGTGATAACACACATGATAACACTCTTTATGGAGTTACATTTAATGTCATACTGCATACCATGACTTGAGCATACTCTGAGCACTATAAGGAGACAGGACGACTAGACCGTCAGCATACAGTACATCAGATGGTTAATGAGACTATCCCCCACCACAGAACTAGTCTTACACTCTTTTAACTTTTAGAAAGACCACCTGTATACAGGTTAAAGAGAACCGGTGACAGTATTCCAACTTGTCAGACTGCATTGGTCACCAGGAGGGGTGCAGATATACTCTTACCCAACCTAACCTGTATGGTTTTATATGAATACCAGTGATTATTATTATTATTAAATGTGGGGGACCCCTCGCTGTAGTAGCTTGACCAAATGTCAAACGTATCCAGGAAACACATGAATACTGTAGTGTTTTGCCTTCTATACCTAGTGACAATATATATACAGATCTGTGCCGTGTTTATTTTTAAAACCAAATTGATTGTAAATGGTTATAATGTATCCTTGAAGCCTAGCCAAGAGAATTCACACCAATACTTAAGAGAGAATGCTGAACCATTAAACCATTATCTTTTTGAAAAGGCTGCTGCCAGAACATGAACCATACTGTGAGTAGGAGACTTAACTTTATTACACCAATTTGTCCTCATTGGTCCATTAGCTCTGAGTTCAAGCCAGGCTGAAGTTCAAAGTCTTTTTTATTGATTACATAAGCTTGCACAATCTTATCTATTCTCAGAACCCAGCTTTGTCTACATATGATCGGGAAAATAACACCTAAAAACAAGAGGACATGAAGTCAGAGGGTGGAAAAGTATTTTTCTACTAAGCTCACATCTTGGAAATGAACTCAATCTTACAACTGATGAAGCAGAAATGCAGTCTGACTAATTCAGTACCAGATATTCATCATTTTATCAAAGTAAACAACTGTCTATTCCTCCATCTCTCTCTCTCTCTCTCTCTCACACACACACACGCTGCTATTGCTATGCATATAGGACACAGCAGCTAAACAGTGTTATTTTGTGTGTATGATTATATAATGCTGTTTCATATTTAACAAAAGTCTTCAGCCATGCTCGCAGCTCTGTGAGGCTGCACTTAAGCACAGTGATTTGAGGACTTATAAAGACCCTCTGTCCTCACTCCCTACACTTCACCCTGAAAGCCCAGACATCTTCTTCTCTTCTTCAGTATGTAGTAAATAAGTAAAGTCAAAGGCATCTGCACTTGCTGTTTGCTCTTCAAGACATTTCATCATTCATCAGTGAGGTTCCCTCAGTTCTATTGATTACCACAGACTGGAGGGGCGATCCAGGCATTCAAACCTTGATGTGTCGTAATGTTATGGAGCATCCAACAACATGCAGCTGTGATTTCTGCTTTGATAACAGCTGGGCTCCTCTGTTGAGCAGCTTCCTCCTCTGTCTTCCTGTTGCACTCTTCACCTCAGAAATCGCTGTCTGATGAGGTCTAAACTCCATAAATACAAACATAAAAATCAGAACATTCTTCCTGGAAAAGACGATGACAGGTTTTATTTTCATCACTCTGCTGGGGCGCACGCAAGCACATGATAAATTACTAATAAATGGTAATAAACATGACTTTAAAAGGTTATGAATTATTCCTTGAAAATATTCATTAAGCTCTCATTCTACTCTGCAAAATTACAGCACACTGCCTTTTATTAGAATGATCCAGCTTTCTTGTAATGGATGAATCCTGATTAAAACTAGACACTGCCATTGTCAAGCTGTTCACATATCTTCATTGAAACCTGCAAATATGTCTTGAGAGCTACTGAAATGAGATGAATTGGACATGACAAGATCAGCCCACGTCTACGGCACAGATCAGATGGCCATGACACAAGCATTTGAATTCAACCCTCTCTTAAACAAAAGTGACAGTCTTAAATAAATGAATTAGATGAGACAAAAGATTTAAACACTGTTTCCCTCACAACCTGTGCGCATCATGGGACTATCGGACTGGGAATCTGACTGCAGGGCAAGATGAATCTTATCAGCTGCTCATCTATTCTGGGCTCTGCCTGGGAGCCTGTATCAGTAATTACAATTTATCAGGACTCTAGAGTCAAGGAGCCGATGAAGATCACGGCAGGACTAGAGCATCTCTCTCAAAAACATTACCACTCTGTGCAACAAAGAGGAAAGTATGCAGCGTTTTATTTTCACATTGTTTCACCATTTATTTGCATTTTTGTCCAGCTCTCCATGTACACACAATAGTAACACAAATAGCATGGTACTGTAAACAATGAATGAACATACTTTTAGATTTTTTGGGACATAACCCAATAGAGTTCTCTTATCAGGTATGAGGATGCTCTTTGTTTTATAATGTAAATGTCACCAAATAACTTCTTAATTAGTTGGTCATGTTATTTAAAAATTTCAAACATTTAACAATTTGGTTGTAACATTTACCACACGTCCCTTCATTGGCCAAATATTAGAAACACTGCCTAAAAGAAACTACTAACATGTTTTGGCAACTTGTAAAACAGAATCTTTGCAAGGCCACTTGGAGCACTTTCTGCCAAAATGGATCAAGCATGCCTACATACAATCAGCTGTTACAGCATGTAACAACTGTATTTGCACAACCATTAAGATTATAGAGTTTCTGGTAAAATACATTCAGAAGGAGGTCAGATAACACAAGACCAAAACTTCAGTTTGTGGAGGCAGAAAGAGAAACAGCATAAACTCTGGTGAGTGCCAAAACCACCAAGTATTAGGAACTTAATTTTCCACTGGTTATTAGAAATAATGCACAGGAGGATGTGGAAATGATACCAGTAAGTAAGAATTTATGATCCATCAAGATGATTTCATATGATGCTCTGGCAATAAAAATCATGGATCTTGTGCTGTAAGTGGAAATTAAAAAAAAAAAAAAAAAAAACTCCAGCTAAATAAAAAGAGAAGCCTTTACTTTTGTGCATGAGACAGAGAAATAGAAATAAGAAATTCATATGTGCTCACAAATATTTGGTATTTGCTGTCTTTCATTTTTGAGCCCTGTCTTCATGGTGCAAAAAAAGGAAGGTAATGGAAGAAAAGTTTTCAAAACTATCAAAAACTAGTCTGCCGCCTTGTTCTCTCCCAGAGAACCTTGTATTTGGATAATTTATGAAATAAGTGGTGTAAAAAAGATATAGGTATGGCGAGTATCCTTGTGAAAGAAATGAAACATACTTTTCTCCAATAAAAACTGTGTGTGATCCAGTGGATAATTCTTCTATTTCATTTCTGTATTTGTTTTGATGATCAGTGCTTTTTTTTTTAGTTTTTCCTATGATGAAAGTGAATGTGTATATGAGCTATGATCATTATCATGCTGGTATCTGATAATTTGCATTAAAGGTCTGTCTATGTTGTTCTCTGACAATTCTGTCACCAAAACAGCAATTTTTCGGCGGAAACGACACTGTTCTGACATTGTTCCTCTATTTAGTGTCTTATGAGCATCAGGGAGGAGAAATTACTGCATCATTGAATGATTCAACTCAAGGCAAGCCTGCTTTTGGTTTCCACATATACACAACATAATGGCATCATCAACAAAACACAGTCCAACAGCAACAACTTGCATTACAATTAAAACACTAGAAAAGTCATTTGAAAGGAAAACCAAAAAAAAGTGAATCAGCACTAACATAGTGCATAAAACATCTTGTTTATCCTCAGAAATTCAAAAAAAGGCTGTTTACCCAAAAGGCTTGTGACATTTTCTTTTACAAAGATCCAGCACTGATGAGACAAAGTCAAATGTCAATGTTCCATTGTCCTTTGAATGTCATGAGTGATTGGCGACTCCAGATGTTTTGTCTCCCTCATGACACAAATACGAGACACATAACCAGGTGGCTCCTCTGAACTCCAAGGTCAACACCTGTGGATCCACTTTGTCTTTGCTTTTTTTTTGAGGAGTCTTCATGTTTTGTGGGTTGCAAACAGTGCTCCAACCATGTTCATGTTGCAAGCAGTTAAAAAAAAAAAAGAAACTAGAGGTCCTTTTATTCCCACAGACTTTTCTGTCCCATTTTCACCTTGATCAGCTTCGGCTCATCTTCTTTGTGGAGGAAAGATGGCTGCAGCCAAACTTCTGGGCAACATCGCCCTTCAGCAGCAGTTCACACGTGACCTTTGCCATTAGTCCATTTGCTCCGTTTTTGCAGTACGGTACGGACACTACAGCAAAAAGTCACCCAGCTCAAACAGGTCAGTAATCGGTAGTATGTGAGGGAAGTGGTTGGAGTCTGTCTGAGGCCGAGAGTGTCCTTGTGATGAGGTATAGCAGCCTGGTTACATATCCATGTCACCATCATAGGCCAGGGTCAAGGGCTTCTGCGGCGGAGGAGACGTCTTAGTGGTTTTGGATGGCTTACTGAAAGAAAAAAAAAAAAAAACCAACACAGACAATAAAGAAAAACTGACAGTGTATCTGACTTAGTAGCACAGGGAAGCCCAACTTGATTTCAGTCTTTACAAAGAATTCCATTATCTGATAGCAGCAGCGCACAGCAGACAAAATATTGTGTGGAATATGACTCATATTTGACAGGACAGGGTTCAAGGGAAGCTGGTGGTTTGGAATTTGCTTTTCTTCTCTGCTTCCCAGTGTTCAGCGTTCACTCTGATCTCATCTGAAGTGTGTGTGCGACCTACAATGGAGCTTTTGTTCTTTATATTGTGCATAGTGAGGGATCTCTTAAGAGAGTGATATAGTACATACCAGACCAGGAAGGATAATGCAATAATGAAGAGTACGAAGATGAATCCGACGGCAGTCACGGCGTAAACCCACAGCTTTACTCTTCCATCTGTGCAATCAAAAAGCAATTTCAATACAAAGTTTTAAATATTTGTTCGTCTACATCTTTTGTGTGGATATCTTTAAAATTGGTTTTGTCACATTATATAAATAAATGAGAAAAAGAAGCTAGTTCAAACATAATGCAGAGGAGTGACTAGAATTTTCTTGACAGTTTTATGGTCTGTTGAAAGCATATACTGATAACCCCAGTGACAACATGGACCTCGAATGAAGATCTTGTGATCCTGAAGCTACAAAGGCAGGTTCAAAGGCAGCAATGATCTCAGGGACGTTGAGCTGTAAAGACGATTTCCATTTCAGTACCTGGGCCAACAGGTCGTAAGGTCCACTCTGTGAAGAGGTCCTGGGCCTGAGTCGGCCCGGGTTTTAACCGCCCAGAGTTGGTTTTCACATCAGCTTTCTTGTTGTTGTCCACCCCCGGGGTTCTGGTGCAGTAGTCCAAGAAACCGTGTGTTGTCATCACTTCAGTATAACCCTTCTCACACCCACACACTCCGCTCTGCATTAAGAAGACCGTCATTTACAGCCAGCACAAGACAACTGTAATTGTTACATTCCTGTTGCTACAAAACAGTTTGCTCTACTTTCACTCCACTTTCTGAAGACTTTTTACTCTTACTGCAGGTTGATTCATCCTAACTCTGGCATTAAACTGTGCTCCTTAGGGGGGGATTATGCCAACACTTGTTTTGTATTTTAAGTGCAGTTCCATGAAGGGTGCTCTGAGGGGCAGTAAAACTTCAAGCTTAAGCTATTATTTCTCATTGCCATTGCTGCCTGTGTGCGTGTCGTCCCCCCCCCCCATCTAGGTGTAGTCTCTAACTGATACACAGCCCACATTCATTGGTGGTAACATGATTTTCCTTTAATTGCCCGTTCTTGACAATTAAAAATGCCATCCATCAAAATCCATTTAACTCCCTATGTACAACGTGGGAGCAGCAGGGAACAGTAAAAACACAGTGAGAATTATGGAGATTACAGCTGCCTGACCAAAGTACAATGATCTTACCGTTGTGCAGTGTGAGAAGGGTTTAGTGCACGGAGGATGGCAGTGTCTGACCGTGGTTGGCCTTTTCTGTGCGAAACATCCCCCTGGAGAAAGACAACAGGTTCTCATTTTTGTTCCTTTACCCATTGATCACTAAATTAATGTACTGTCATACCTGATTAATGGCTTCAGTTGCCTATCAGGGTCCCTGATCAATCTGTGAACATTTTAATTCCAACATGGAAAATTGCATGTCAAAATATCAAAGAGTAATGCCTGGGGTTCTTGCCTTCTCTGCAGAGGGAGGTTATTCCGTCTGGGCTCATATTTGTCAGAAACACTTCTTTACAGCGATAAGATCACATTCAGCCACTATTTACAGCACATCAAGCTCGCCTAAAGCCTTCGTTCCCACAGCACTATTACCTTTGTTCTTTTTCTCCACGCCTGCTTTACTTGCCACAAATACAAATGCATGATTATATTTATATGGATTGAAAGCCTCCCAGCTCAGAGTCTGGCTTATTGATTACTTATGTTAAGAGGGAGAAGAGAAATCAATGGAGACTGCACAGAGAATGGGCAGCTCAAATAAGGTGTTAAATTCAACTACAACACTACACTAAAATTACCATCTGTTTGTTAGTGCATATTTCTCTAAGTGTGTAAGAGAAAGAAAATACATTAAGCCTGTTCACACAGCACACCCTCATGTGCAGTTCTGAACCGATGTCATCAGATTTCTTTAGAAGATGTAAAGTCACTGACTATATCTATTGTAGCACATTATCCCCTGTATCAATCCGTTATCTATAATATTATTGTAAACTAAGATTAACAAGAGCAAAATATATCACGTCTGTTTTTATATTCACCCCACTCATGTCTCAATCATGTTCTGAACTTAGGGGGGAAATCTGTTCTGAGGTTATTTTTAAACAACTTGCTATGCCTCTGCAGAATTTACCTGTGTGACAGCTTTCTCAGATGAATTAAAGAAGATCCACTTACCCTCAACATTTACAAATTCCTTTTTTGAGCTATCAAATAATCTGACAGTGTAGCACATATCCATGTGATCCACACTGAATTCACAGTGATTCAGTTCGGTGCGGGGGAACAAAAGCAGAACTGGGACACTTTCAGGTGTAGTCTGCACTAAACCAGTTATACATAGATATTCATATCTATAAAAGCATGTGGATCTGTATGTGAAGAGACTGCAACAACTCACCTGTGACATTGACACCGTCTGAGCGCTGACACCACACTAATCTCTCGTTGTTGCTCCATCCTCCTGTCCTCCACTGGTAACTGTGGCATTTTCCTTCTGTAGTAATGGCACAGAGGCAGACATGATGTTCATTAGCACTTTGTGCTGGGCATTCAGCTGTTGTTAGGCTCCCATGGACATTAGCCACCACTTCTGCTGCTGCTCTGCTAGTTCACCTTATAAGTTAAGATGTACTATGTTCGTAGAGAAAGGAAAAGAGCACCTTTTCTACCGAGGCAGTGTGCTATGAGACAAAGGGGTCTTTGGAGGAAATGAGATGGTAGAAATTGGGAATGAATTAAACTTTTTTGTTAATGGAAGGCTCTTACTATTTTCCTACAGTGAAACTTCAGTCTGGTTTCATGCATTAAAGAAAATCTGGTCACACGTGAATTGCTGCAAGATCAGTGGTAGAAGAAACACCACAGGAAAGGATTTGTGAAATACAGAATTTAGTTCAAAATTACACATATAAGCTATACAGCTGTGCAGTAATGAAAACAACGCCAAAAGTTGTAAAAGCATCTAACTAATGAGGGAAGACAGTCGGCAAGAGGCCACATAGCTGGTGGTTGATTATATGAAGGTATGCAGGTACAGCAATCAAGAAAGTACAAGATTATTTAATGAATCAATGGAAAAGTTAAGAAACGTAAATACATAGTCCCCTCTGTAAGACACATACTGTGTCTGCCTGGGGAAAGTCAGTAATCAGGTGCATTAAGTAGCAGTTACAGTGGCAAGGAAAAGTAAGTGAACACACAACACGTCTTAAAATATGGTCAGATCTTCATCTAAGTTACAACTATGACCATGGCAGGACACCACGCAGGAAGCCGCTGCTCTCCAAACAAAAAAAAAAAGAAAAAAAAAGAAAAAAGAAGTTTCCTAAATGACACCTTCACACTCCACAATGCTACAGGGAATTATGGTGTAAAAATCGCACTGGACACCAACATGAAAACATCATCGCAAAGTTAAGGGTAGTGGGAGCATCATGATTGGGGCTTTGCTGCTTCTGGACCTGAACAGCTCAGTCATGAGGAGAAATTGAATTCTTAAGGTTATCATGGTCTCTTATAGGATAATGTCAGTGCGGCTGTCCACCTGCTGAAGCTCAGTAGAAGCTGGGTAATGCAGCAGGACAATGACCCCAAACATCAAAGTAAATCTATTACATAATGATTTCAAACAAAGAAAATCCATTGTTTGGAGTGGCCAATTCAAAGCAAAGACCTTTACCAAGTATAGATGCTGAGGAATGGCCTGATGAGAGCCGCCCACGCCAGACATCAATGGTCCAAAATTGCGCAGGTCTGATCAGCAGCTACTGGAAGAGCTGGTTTGAGGTTATTGGTGCCAAAGGAGGTTCAACCAATGGTTACTTTTTCCACCAGCACTGTGAATGTTTAATGGGTGTGTTCAACAAAGACACAAAAGATTATAATTGATCATTTGTTATTATGTTAATCTCATTGTATCCGTCTGCACTTGTGACTTAGATGAAGATTAAATCACATTTTAAGACCAGTAAATACAGAAAACCAGGTCATTCCGAATGGTTCACGCACGCTTTCTTGCTGCTGCATTAACCTTTGATGGTTCAAATACTGACCCTTTAATGAGAACCTTTTCATTGTATTTGTAATTTTTAACCACTAACCGCGCTATGACTCAGTTTCAATGACAACTTTTCCATTACCAACACAAGACTGCCACTTACACCCTAATATCAGCTATTAGTCTTTTGCCTCCATCCAGACAGGTTGATATTAAGTGAAAGCCAAAATAAGCCTTAAGTCCATAATGTGTGTTATGAGCTGTGGCGGTGAGTGTTCTGTCATGGTGCAAACAATATTACTCAAGGTAATAGTGCCTCAATACATGCTGATAAATATTGGAATGTAGTTTCCAGGACAGTAGCATTAAATAGAAACGTTTCAGTGGCCCTCGTGAGTAGATCTAAAGTTTAATAAACATTTATCAGAAGACAATTTCCATTTCATTGATCCATTTTGAGGGTCAGGGCCTTTTGTTCCTATTCAAAATTTCAATAGATACAGGGTGACTGAAGCACAAGGAGAAACTAAAATGTTCTGAAAGCCTTGACCTTCCAGATACTTGATATTCACAAAATGTTGAGCTAGCCCCCTGATTTTTTTGTCCATTTGTAGAGAGAATAAAGGGCAACTGAGCACACCCAGTTCTTGCTGACCCCCAGTGGCTGGGGTTGTCACGAGGCTGCAGTACTTGTTAAACCAGCATGAAACTATTTTATTTTATTTTTGTCAGCTCACAGACAGTGGGAAACAAACTGCTAACACAACACTGACCTATCATTACCCTAACAAACAATTGCTTATTAAAACATCCAGCAGTTATGGGGCAACATTTGCATTCATTTGAAGTCATGTTTCTTGCAACATGAATGTTAGTCCATTATTCACTCACTCTTTAAGCTCTGTGTTTTGGACTACACTATTTCCTGTAGCAGAGGGAAGTAGTGCACAGTGTTTTATTAGAGCTGCTTCTCTGGCTGGAGTGACACTTTGAAAGCAGCGAGAGTGAACTAGAACAGTAAAGTTAGAGGTTGTAAAACCAAAATGAGCTGAAATATGCAGAGCTGAGGGAACTACAAAGTTTGATGAAATTATCTCTGGTGACCCTTTTTAGATATAAGTGCTGCATTGTTGATGTAAAAATATTGATTATAGCTGCTTTAAAAGGGTTAAGGCTGAAGTGTATGTAAGTGGTTTCTCCTCAGTACCTTTACAGGGCTGGGTCTCAAAGACTTGATGCGGGCAGTTGCCCTGGTTCTCCATGACCTGAATGATTACAGCTCTGGAGCGTGCTTGGCGACCAGTGGTCTCAAAGCTCCGCCCCTCCAGGCAAGTCAGCTGGCAAGAGCTCCAAGATGACCACTCAGTCAAATGGCAGTCTCCTGAGAAGAAAAGAAAAAGACAGGAAAAACTTCAGTGATAGACACAACTTGGTCAATAACACTGAGACTTTCTCTTTGGAAACTTGAGGGTGGTTTATATTCAGCTTGCCAACACTATTTCAGGGATCATTTTATTGGCTCCCCTGCTTGCTCCTGGAACATTTATAAAGAGATCGAAAGCAACTTCAGCACACATCTGCGGCTGATAATGTACCAAATGCACAAACAAATTACTCAGGCAGCCCAGTGGGTATTTAGAAGTAATTGACCAACCAGAGTTATAAATTATACAATACAAGCTATAATGCAGAGCCCAACTGTCAAGACCCAGCACTGAAATGTGTCTCATAGGAGAAGCAAAATTCATTTGGTTTGGGAAATGTTTGTAGTGGATAAAGGTTGGCTCATGTACTCTGTCAGTATACAAACAACAGTTATTTCCTTGAAGGTCAAATATTAATATCCATTGTATATAGTCTTTGATAGGATAATCTTGTAGGGACATCACCCGCTGCCACAGCTCCTCAGCCAGAACAACCCTCTGCTTCTCTGTCCTGAACGTCCATCAGTGACTTTCAGTGGATTCACGCATCTTATTATCTTTCATCTTCAAACGGATCCACTCTATCAGCTTCCCTCATGCTGCTGCGGCTGTGGAAGACATACTGTGGCAAAAAGCTGCAGTGTGCAGCAAACAGCTCCACACGCACACACATACTGTACATCACATACATGTCAACAACCCCTCCCCTGGCCCCTACACTTCGCTTGCCACCTTCACACCAACTGACACATGAACACACAAGAAAAAATACACAAACATCTGCTCTTGCCATCAAACAGTCCTGATCCTGAGCCAAGGCTCACAGACAGCAAAGGCGGTTTGAGTGATGAATCAAGGCGAGGATCAGAGGAGGGAGAGAGACAGATGAGCAAGAGCAAGCACTGCAAGATGGTGCCTCTTCATAGTGAAAGCTAACAAGAGCCTCACGTGACAAGAGCCAAAGGAGATCTGGGTGGTTTCTCATTCTTTTGATTTTTATCAGATAATGATTGTGTTTCTCTTTTTAAAATGACTAAAATTCAGTTATATTCTACAATATGATAAATGTGTAACTGGCTTGTGCCTTAGCATAATAATCTTCATTATAGATTTTCAAGGTGGAAAGCCTGACTGTGACAAGTGAAGCAAATCATAGCTGTCAGCTGGCCAGCAGCTCCCTCACTTACAGCGTAAGCATGTTCACACTGTGGCCTGAAAAGGGAAAAACGAGTCGGCATCATGCGATGTCAGTCAACTATGATCTGCTGGATTCTTGTTGCTATGGTGATTTACATAATGATTACAATGACCTTTTCGCTTTACGTTATAGGTCTCTTTTTTCTTCACTAAAATGATCAATTAACAGCAGTGTGACAGCTTGATTTCCTGATTCAAATATTTCACAAAATTGAAAAAAATGTCTAAAATACACTTTATCAAGACTAAACTTGACACTATATTCTCCAATGTCCACTTCATTGGAGGAGGAAAGTAAAATATCCCCCAAAAAAGTTACCATAATGTTTTTTTTTATTGTTTTCATGATCCCGCCATCTTATCTGCTGAGATGCAGTACAACACACAGGCGGTGCCAAATTGCACCAATCTTTTTATTTATTACTTTTTTATTGCCAAGTTACAGCTACAGGCGGCACTCCGCCAAGAGTGGTGCTCTTTTATCATTATCCATCACAGAGAACAGCGTGTATGTGGTTTGATGTGTACTGCAAACTGGCAACAGTGAATGCAGTAACACTGTTAAAATTGCAAGAGAAACAAGTTGATCCAGTTTTGCTTCTGATGCATTTCCCCAGCAGTGACTGCAGCTGGACAGCAGCTGTATATCGGCATGCACTGAAGGATAGGTTGAAGCACATGAACCTGTTTTATGTGTAATCTGTGTACAACGGTCATGTGATTATTGACTAGGACAAGTGATCTTAGATGATGCAGTATAGTGATGGAATTTGTCAAAGATCAAAATGTAGTGATGCAACTGTGACCTATTTCCTCTTTATTACCGTATCTACAACAGAATATATGTTATTATTAGAAATTAGATATAGGCACAAAGTACTGCATGTTTCGCTCACTACCACATATATTTTCAGTATCAATAGGAATAATGTTTCAGAATATGTCAGTACTTGGTGTTTTCCACATGTATAGTGCTCTCATCACACAGTTGGCAAATTTCCTTATTTTTAAAATGATTGAGTTTCCTTTTACGTTTCCATCCAAAAGCATCAAGTAAATATGATCCACTTGTCTGGAGTCTAATGGATCTCATTGGTAAACTGAAATAAAGCTGATAAAATAAGGTTGTGTTAAACTGTGATGAGGTCTATGACATCACTGCCTGTTTCAGCTGATAGAGGGATAACCACGCAACTCAGGCAATGTGTTTTTCATAGCGTATCATTGGATACCTATGCTGCTCTTACCACCATACCGCACCAGCGTGCCTGTACCTGTGCTGCGAGATGATGTGTTGCCATCACCTTGTAAGGTCAATATTCTAAATTAGTTGAAAAATGAGAAGTTATGGTAAACCCAATAACATTTTATATTGTTATCTCATATATATACGTATATATATGTATATATATATATATATGTATATTTTAAATCATATACTGCTTTTGCAAAAGCAATAAATAAACAATAAATGTAATCAAAGCTGTTCCTATATTAAACTATTTTCATTCTGTTGTTGCCACTGGAAAATCATTGTGTGTCCAAGCTTTGCACATGCAGAATCCCTCTACTGTAGCTGTTAATTGCACGGCTGTGATGAGCAAGGTGATTGCTCACAGCAGTGTGATCAGTTAATTGTTTCAGTTAGTTAGGAGGATTTTTCACACTTAATTTATTCCAGGGTTGTTACACAATGATGTGTAAAAATCAATAGTTCTGTTCCATAATTGATCGTGAAATCTGACTCTCTTTTAGTTACACAGTACTGACTTTTGCGTGCTTTTAGGTACTGCATTGATATAAGCTATGAACTTTGTTTTTTCCAGGTGGACATGGTGTCTTTTTTGTCTGGTCATTACTGGATATGTCACCCCAGACAATGTAGAGCTAAAAGGGTCATTAGTTAATCTATGACTTTCATTGACTTTGCAATAATTATTGAGCCACTGAAAATGTCAGCTAGTTGGGAGAGGGGACAGTGTATTGACAGACACCAGAAAATTAGGTGGTGCTTGAAGTGACCCAGACCAAATAATTATTGGTATTGTGAATCCCAAATGACCAGAATAATAAATCATTCATACAATCGTGTAGATTTGCTCTATTTGAGCTGATTATAAAATACCAATATAGTGTATATTTCATGCAATTGCATTAATAATGATCCCTCATATACTGGCTGTCAATACAGTTGAAAAGCAAAGATGATCATTATGTAAATCTGAGTGCTGCTTTACCTGGGCAGGGAACGAAGCAGGGCTGCTCCATCTCCTGTTGTATCTTTTGCCTCCTTCTGTCTCCACAAAGCTCCTCCTCTACTGGCTGAGGAGGAGACTCAGGCCAGTCACCCCAGTGGACGACACATGACAGGTTCCTTCTCCGAAGCCCCTCACCGCACTCTGCTCCCTGCACAAACACGCACGCACGCACACACACACACGCACACGCACACACGCACACACACACACACACAAATATGACCATGTCAAGATTCATCTGAAGATGTTTCATCACTATATCGTAAGACAGAAGAAATTCCTCACAGAAACATTTATTCAGTTTGTTTTGCAAAAGAATGCTGACCAGACAGTCTCAAAACAATGAGATGAAAATGAATGAGACTGATTAGTCGTCCCTTCATGGGATTACAATTACTAAAAAACGGTCCAAATTGGATTCAATATGATATCTAACATGTAATTTAAAGGATCCCTGTGGAGTTTTTGAACATGCCATAGAGCTATTTTTCTATGGGGGCGTAGAAAAACAAGCCCCCATAGGGTTTAGCGGGTGCCCATTTTGTTGGACATTCATGCTCATATGTGCAGGCGAAGCAAGACACAGTCCTGCCAACGATGTCACACTATTCCACTGATCAACATGGCAGTGAGATGCTAAAATGTGCTGCAATGCGCCAACAATGACAGATGAAGATGACTGCAAGCCAGTAAACATGGATGTAAACAATGCTGGATTTAAAATACTAATTTAAAAATACCGGCTTTTTATGAGAAGGAAATGCGGTTTATTAGACCTCAAGGATACACACAATGATTAATATTAACTGTATACAGTTAATATTAATTGTTTGTTACAAAAAAACTCCATCTTTATCAACATTTACACAATATGCTAAATACATTGCGTCCATCTTTGAGGTCTATAAAAAAATGTATAATCCATTTATTTCCTCATGTGAAAACAAGAGATCATATAAACATTGCTCCACAGGGCAACTAGTGGTCATAAACTCCACAGGGCTCCTTTGAGAGAAGTGGCAGTTCAGTGTGATGTCAATCCAAGCTGTACATATTTGAAAAATGTGATGCAGAGAAAATTATAAATTGAAAACAATTACGAAACCAGAAGCCAAGTGCTTTTTAGCTAAGGTGAAAGTGAGCACCCTTGGTAAGATTACAACGACATCACATGGAGGTACAAACTCGGTCATACCTCTACAGTGCATGGGGACCAGTCGCTCAGCAGCCACATATAGCAAGGCCTTATGGGACATGGTTTGGTCTGGGTGAGCTGGTTGGGACAGGGACGACCCTCCTCATGAGCCTCCTGCAGAATTCTCCGTGTGCGCACAGTCAGACCTGCAGAACATCAAGGCAAACACGCCGTCATGAACAACAATGCACCAGGGGAGACTTGAGTGCATCTGAAAGCGGCAAGCTGGATGTTGAGGCTGAGAAGTCCTTTTGCTTGCTTATGTGAGAAAATCAAAAATAGCGACATTTCGCAGAGCCACTGTGCAGAGCTAACAGGAGAGACTGCTAAATAATAAAAACTGTGAATAAAGGACAAAAACACTGTGGGATTCATACACTTAACTACATGTGTGTCAGGGTAAGAGACATAAAGGCATCACTGCACAAGTATAAGGTCCCATAAAATAACAGTTAATAAAACAGCTGGCTGAAATGAATGAGGATCTTTTATTTAGAAAGAGAGGATACACCTTCTCTTTAGCCCATGAAATATTTCCCTCATGACAATGAGGAATTAGTACAGCAGCACAATACATCTGTGTCACCACGCCACTTTATGCTTAGATCTAACAGTTTCCTTCACAAGCGCTTTGTTCAAGTGAGCCATTAATAATGTGTGACAGGAAATGTTTGGTAAACGGCAACAGTAACAAGAAGTGGCCACATAGCGGCTTTGGTATGTTGCAGAGCAGCTTAGTGTCGGGTTCCCGTGAGGCTCAGTGAAGGCATGGTCGCCATCAGCCATCAACTTAAGACAGTCATTTTGTGTGTGTGCATGTTACGCCAGGGGAGACGCTGAGCTCTGTGGGCCGCAGGCAGACACAGCAGACGTTCAGCTCTGCCATCTCAAAAATCAAACCAAAAACATTAACACTCCCTTGGCATCCTGACAAAACAAGATCCTTGCTTCATCTGACACAGATACGACGCAAATCCCTCATCAGGCCTGACAGATGTGTTTCTCAATGTGCGAGAATGAACTGAGAGAGTGGCAGCAACAGAGTCACAGTGACAGTGACAGAGAGCTGTGAGAGAGACACACAGAGAGAGTCTTGAGTTTAAATCCCAAGCTGAAAGCCTGTGTAACTGTGAGCTTATTGGAACGAGGGGTTAACTGTGAAGAAACAGACAGCTGACGACAAATTAATATTGATGAACTTAAGAAGATACTGTTGAGTCTCTCTAATTAACAGAATAACAAGCGTTCTCTCTGGGAGTTTGGCTTTGGGAGGTCAAAGAAACAATGTATGCATTCAGGTTAACTTCATTAACTTTTGTATATTGCATGAGGTTACACCCGGACCTTCTCTAAGTGATGATGGGCATGCCACAGGTTGGTGATTACTAATTGCATTTTTGAAAACATGCAGAGGGTAAGTATATATTTTATTTAGGAACACTGAATTATTGATGATGTCTGTAAATGTGAGCTCTGTGAAATTTAGTTTAAATGAAGCTGCTATTCTTAAAATGTAACCTCATGAAGCAAAGCTGCTTGTGTTAATAAAAAACTGAGCTTCATACAGAATGATAATGAAGTGAGAATATTAATATATACATTATTGAAAAAAAAAAAAAACTCAGCTCACTGTTTCCCTGTATAATAAGGCTTTGGATTACACATGCTCGTAAATATTTTAATGCATTTAAATGTATTCATGCACAATTCAACATCTTGGTGAAAGTCTGAGCGGATGGAATAATGAGGTGCTGCACATGTGGTTCACTGTGTGTCTGTTCATCAGGTTGGTGTTCCCTTTGGCTTAAGTTAAGTTTGTTTGCGCAGAAGGTTTACCTTGGCTACCACAGGTGTGCGAGCATTCCGCCCACGGCGACCAATCAGAGAGTAAACAGCTGACGGGACAATCAACCACGCAGCTCTCTGACAGCCTCCACTTGTTGATCAGGCCGGACTGCAGAAAAACAAGAGCGGTGCTGTGAGGAGGGCTAACAAACTATTTCCACTGACAAGAAAGAGGGAGCTCCCACATCTCCATATTTTGAATAAGCAGCAGTTCACCTCAGGACAGTGGAGCTGCAGCAGATAAGCAATTTTATCATTAACTGTGCTTTCAACAAATGTTGAACTATAATTTTCTTTACTTTTATTTGTGGCAAACAAACTGTTTAAGGACATTACACTAAACACAGAGGCGAGAGCATCACAGATAAAGCTCATTCACGCACTGTAATATGATTCTGAATATAGCAGATGTTAACTGCAGGTTGTGGAACAGGATTGATATCCAGTTTGCAACACACCAGTGAGAAATATTGCAGCTACTACTGTTACTGAATTTACAATAACTTGCAGCATCTTCCAAGACCACCGTTTATCTGTGCATGATTGAGTGAAGGAACTAAAGCTGTGTGTTGGCTCAAACTGCTTAGAGAAACATGACGGTGTGAGGAGATCACATCCAACATTTTCACTTAAATTGGGCAACTTGGCTTTCAATAATGTATGAGCCAAAGGGAACAGAAGAGGAATTGGAGAACTGTGGCATCAATCAATACTTCATACTTCAAAATGCTCTCCAAACAATTTAATTTTGAAGTGTAATATTCCATTCTTCCTGTAAGGGATCTCACTGTAATTTGGTGCAAATCGCTTCTCTTTCGATTTGTTCCTGTCTGGATTCGTTGAGATTTCTAGACCAACAGTAGATGAAAAGAATAAACTATAAACCCAGTCCATTTTAGGTTTTAAACAGAAATTGCTGTTATTATTTGCTTCTGAGGTCAGTCACATTAAAAGCCTTTGCACTGTATTCTTTGCTGCGCCACATGTGTGCATTAACCTCAGCTTGACATTATTAAATCTCAATATCCCCAAATATTGGGAAAAATATTTATATGATAACTGTAGACTCAGACTATAATTGTACAATTAAAATTTTCATCTGCAGGATCCCATTATAAACGAAAGATGTTTCTACACAGTGATTACCTCCTCGCACTTCTGCTGGGCCACTATCTTCCCGTCGCTGCGGATACAGTCCAGGAGACGCAGCCGTGAACCATGACCACAGATGGCATTTTCACTCAGCTGGCATGTACTCCAGTCTGCAGTCCACACACACACACACACACACACACACACACACACACACACACACACACACACACACACACACACACACACACACACACACACACACAGAGAGAGAAACAGGAACAGAAACATGCATAAATCTGTACATCAGTCTAATTGTCAGACCGTGTTGGATGCCATTGCTTGCAGAATCACTGTTCTATCCAGCAACACTACACGTCTACATGTACATTAACCCCTACTATACCCAACCAGCTACACTCACACTTTTTATCAGGGGAATTTCCTTAACCTTGCTGCTCTATCACATGGTGTTTCCCTCAGGCTACAAACTAACTTTTGGACCTCACACCACCCCGTTACTTCAAAAAACCAAACCAAAACAAAACAAACAAAAAAAAAACATGAAAAACATATACAATCACCAGACATGTCTGTATACAATGAAATTAGGAGTGGGTGTGGTCTTTTGTCCAGGGGTGGAGCATTCCTTTCAGGAAGCAAAGCCACATATGGCTTGAAGTACATGAACCTTGGGGGGACAGTGCCACCAATTGGTAAGACAGATATCACTTTTTAACATGTTTAAATTGAAATAACTTTATACAAAAAATATATGTATGTATATATGCAAGAATGTAAAGAAGTTTGTTTGACATTTTAAAGATTTTTGTCTTGTTTTTATTTGTTTTTATTTATATACTAAAACTGTTTTTTTGTTCGTTGCCTCAGGGCAACATTGTGCAGTTAGACCGCATTTGCATAATTATGATCATAGTCAAAGTTTTTACTTTACTATACTGATAGATACAGGAAATAGACGCAAAAACTTTTTCTGGGTGGAAGGAACTTGGAGGAGTTAGGGTCATTCCCTCCGACAGAGAGCTCAGAGAGCCAGGAAGAGTCCCCGAATCAGGTTTGAGAGACATTTAAAAGGTCAGGGTTCAGTCAGCAGAGTAATGTCTGTGTGTGTGTGTGTGTGTGTGTGTGTGTGTGTGTGTGTGTGTGTTTGTTCATAACTGCACACACAGGCTCACCCCTCCTCTCACATACACAAAGAAATACACACAGATAATATATAATATATTGCTGGTTTTCCTTATTCCACTTATAACATGTACTATAGAAAACCTTGGCGTTTCAGTAACCGCATAGCGCACTTTTATCCTGAGGCAACAACCCAGAATAAAAATTCATGCTATAGAGGGTTAGGGCAGGAAAACTTGGTCAAACCACACAATTGACTTGCTTCACATTCATTTAATTAAATACATTCCCTCTGGATGCAAACAATAGTCCGTCATCCGCTTGCAGGTCAGACCCACTGTACAGGTGGTCCTACCTGAGACTCTGTACTGGTAAGTAAAGCAGGTGATGTTGAGGATGCAGGGCTCCGACTGGACCAGCTCTGGACAGGCAGAGTCTTCTGAGGCTGAGAGGCGGAGGATGTGTCTACTCCTGTTTCTTGCTGTCCCTTGGTCACATTGCTGTTCAACAATGACAGCACGAAAAAGTCTAGGTTTAGTTAAAGAATAAAGGGAGATGGGATGACACCTGGAGTCCAGGAGTCCTTAAGCAAAATATTGAAAGCAGTCCCTGCATTTACATTTATGAACTAACCACTAACACGTCATGATTAAATTGTTTTGTTTTCACACCAGCAGCCTAAAGTCAGAAAATCCTGTGTTAATATGTGAATAGGCTCTGACATTTTGCAAACTCAGTTTTATCATTTTAATTAGTTTTGTTTATTTCTGATAAAAATTCTGAAAGACTAAATTGATCAATAAAACACTCACTCTGTATTGTAAGATTACAATATAACAAATTTATTATTTATTGCCTTTGAAAATGCAATTGACGATTTTATCATCAGACTCAAAACAACAAACCACCTTTTAGAGCAACAACCGACGTTAGAGATTAGATCCATTCAGCATCAGGACAAAAGCAGACAGTTTCGAACACATGTTTTTCATATAATCAATTCTCTTTTCCTGTACAAGGAGACTACTTACATGTATGAATTATCAAGGATAAACTCCAGGCCTCCTTTAGAGGATGCTTCTCTAAAGCAGTGTAAATAAATGAAGTAGATGATGTAATGAGGGAGTGATAAGAAAGTCATCACTTTCAAAATGAATGAAATCTAGGAGAAATTGAGGAATGGGTCTGTGTATTTCGATTAATCATACTAATGTAGAAATAAATGAGCAAATTTAATACTTTAGAGGACAGCAGTTGAAAAATGCAGCAGCTGATTCTGGTGCAAAGCAGGGCCTCTCTTAACGGCATCTATTCTTTGGTCACTGACAAACCACTGAAAAACCAATTAATAAAAGAAGCCTGTTCAAGTTGGTATCCTTCTCTTTACTTGCTAACAAACCACATGGTGTATTGCTTCCAACACAATGTGTCTACCTAATATTGTGAGGATGTAACTAACACTATCAAATACAACTGCTGCTCTTCCACAATCCCTATGTTGTTTTTAAAAAGGTATTACAAATGATACAAAAGCACTATGGTCTTAAACTTAAACAAGACTTTTATGACACCCTTGAATCCCATTTAAATCACATTCTGTAATTCTTCAAAATTACTGATGTCAAGAGAATTAGTTTTTAAATTAATGAAAAAATATCCGGTAGATTACCTACAAAACCTGAGAAAAAGTCAGCAAGGATTTTTAAAATGCCACTGAAAAACTGCTGTGGGTGTGCTAAAAATACCTTAAAAGAGGAGTTGCTTCACAGATCAGATATTTTTAAAGCTATGGGGAGATTGTATCATATTGGAAGGAAATGTTTTGAGGTAGCAAAGAGAGAGTGAGAATTGTGTACAGAAACCATTTAAAATCAATGTTATCTATTTATACAATTAAATGATATCAAAACTTCAATGTAAGAAATAAAGGGGTTGCAGTTTGTAGATTTAGTTAGTGAAGTCACAGGGAGCCACAGACGCAGCTGAGTGAGGCCAGAATATCAGCCAAAATCTGTATGGCAAGTCAAACCAGTGTACCAAGTGACCAGTGTAATTTGAATATTAAATGTAAAGAATTTACATTTACCTCATTATGCCTCTATCCCAAACCAACTCTCATCAGCCTAACCCTCCTTTGTTTACAAAATAAAATAAAAAAAAATCTCTGGCCTCTAGTTTCAAACGTGGTGTAATTAAAATTATTGCATTGATTAGATTAAATTAGCTATAGTAACCCATTTCTGTCACAATGTATTAACACTTTGGTGTCAGTAGGTTGAGGTAATGCAAATTTACTGACACAAACCTGTACAAGCATCATCTCTGAGGCCTTGGAAAGAACTAGGGCATTTGTTTGAATGGTACTCAACATTATTTGACACATATATGTTAAGTGCTGCTGAGCGTGTGCTATAAAAGCTCTAGGTTAAGGCTGAATGTCTGAATAATCCTGCAAAGTAGGTAGCCTGGGAGAAACCTTAATTTACTGTACTACTGACTATTACATGGCGCAGCCAAAGGCAGATGAAGACGAAAGTGATAATAATTAGGAGAGCAATTATTAGAACTGTAACATTTACCGAATATCTACCAAGAGACAGAGGTGGCATTATGAGAATTTACACATTGCTCAAGTTCCACTACAGGCAAATGGAAATCATGAGTAGAGAAGCAAGGAATGTGTGAAAGTGGAAGAACTGTCAGCTTAGTCACAGAGGAAAAAAGATGAAGGTCTTTGTACTGAGCTGTGTTTGCTCCTCTGCTCCTGATACATCTGGGCGTGTACCTCAGTCACTGTCACCTCCTAATGAGGGACCTCTGTGTGAGCCTCATGAATCTGCTGCAGCCGTTTTATACTTTTAATGTTTTCACAACAGTCTCACAGTCACACACACACACGCATTTGTATGCTACATACAGCACAGAGTCCTGTAATCTGCTGGCTCAATTGTGCCTTTGGGCTGTTGAGCGCGTAGTTCGGAAAGATTTTCACACCATCTTAACTGATAACTAGACCAATAAAACACACTGAGTTCAGAAAATCAATGAATTAAATCTGTTCATTTGTAATTTGCAAGCTCAGTTACCAAGTTCCAGTAGGTGCTAAAACACTGAGCGTGAAAGCGCAGTACAGTTCTGTTAAACATACTTCTTCACAGCTTTGCTCAGTCTGTATCACACAATAGCACGCAGTTTGGAGATTCTTTGCCAGTGTTGTTTTTTTTAATCGAAAGTTGTAACCATTGCAGCCAGTTGTATGCAGAGTGGCATAAAAACTGCCGAATACTAATAAGTCACATTAAAAAAATTTGTAACACAGTGTGGAGGATGAACAAAATGAAGTGAGCAACACAAACGCAGAATCTGAGCAACAATAATTGAGTCCCCTTTTAGATAAATTGGATATATTGGTGGACCCACCAGTGTGCTCGTTTGACTTGCCCCATTTCCTTCTTCAATAAAGACAGAAAAAACATAATTTCCTTCACTTTGAACAGAAGGGACAGTTTACCCTTCACCCACAGGGAGCTGTGCCCTCTGTTCCAAGAAAAATGGCTGTTGATTCTCGTCATAACCATTTCAAGATGTGCTTGAGGAAACAGATTATGAACAGATATGTTCTTGAATATAAATATGTTCTCCATTGTACCATATGTGTTTCAGTGGCAATTTAACTGTAGAAACAAATCATCTGTAACCATTTTATATGGCTGTTACAATTTAATTGGCTTTCAAGTTCAAAGTTTTAAACACTGTTATATGGCCGAATGCATTAAATGGCTGATTTTTACTGATGTTAATAGTGCTGCTGAAGCTTGCATATTGAATGATTGAATGAAACAAAATGTCTGTGGAGACAGCTCAGACTAATTAAGTCATCTCTGTCTCTTTGCCCGAAACTGTACTTTCTCCGACTCCAATGTTCCAGTCCATTGAACTGTTATGTTTGACTGGAAACCTATACTATGCCAACATGGCCCTGTGACCCGTAGCCTGTGGCTATGACCACTGGGGAGCATATTCTACATAGTTCTAGCCTGAGGGCTTACCTTCATTGGAGAGTCAAAGTACAATCATAAACTCAATTTCATTTGGAATACTCACCATTGCAGCGGAAAATGTAATTTCAAATCATGCAAATTCAGACAGCAGACTGGAACAGCTGGGTGGAGCACACTCACTAATTAAGACCAACACCTCCCTGATGTGTACTTACAGTTTTTTAACCTTAATACTTGGAAGAAGCCTGATGAAACATTACGCTTTTAAAAGCGAATCTCAACATGTTGTCTGAATCCATCCACACTGCTCTATGTTGGGGAAGTATTGTTGATTATTTTTAACAGTACTGCAGCTGCTAATGGTTTTAATTCACAAATCTTGTTCTTCCATCATGTAAATGATGGAGGGAGGTGGGCTCCAAGCCTAAGAAGGGTCTAAAATCATTACAAAAATGTGAGTCATAAATGATTTAAAACTGCATTTGTGAGGGCATGAGTAGCAAAGGTTTGATATATTATTCACAGTAAATTATCTAAAAATACATTTCTCTAAATTAACAAAAGAATAATAATTGTACAACATGTACATCAATGTATGTCATTACTGATGGCTTATCTTGCCATTGGCAGGTACTTAAAAAATTCAGTTATTTGCTATGGATTTTCAACATGCTTCCAATAATATCAATTAACCAATCAGCTTGCTACTCAGCAATCTTTCAACTAACCAAGAACACAGTCACTCAGTTATTGCTTCTTACCAGGGAGCAGTTGCTCCAAGGTCCCCAGGGAGCCACTACACAGTCGTTCGGGCAGGCCAGAAAGCAGACCTGGGCTCTGGGTGGCATTTCCTCCTGATCACACAGACTGTCGTCCACACTGCTGGCTTCTCCACTCGTTCCCTTCTTCACACACCTAGCAGAACAGCAGATGCAGCTGTATAACTAGTCTCTGGGGCACTACTAACTGAGTCCTTTTTGGAGTCTCATTTTCAAGTTTCGGACTCAGAGTAGATTACACTTTTCCTCTTCTCAGCTGAGAGTTTCAGCTTGTTTATTTTATTTATATAGATTATATATTTACAGGCACTCGACAATTTGTCCTCTCTGTTTGGGTTTTTCTAAATTTAACTGTATAAAACTGAAACATGGGCTCAAAAAGTCAATTTACTGCACTGTTTTCACATGAAAAATTACAGAATTGGTTTAAGTGGCTTCAAATTACTCATATTTTCAGCAAAAAGGGAGGATGACAATCAATTTTTGAACTGTGGTCGCAGTTAAGGTTAGACATACACTATACTAAACAAGACCAAATCTGCTGCTTTTGATACAGTGACACAGTTTCCCAATTTAGCATTTCCTGTTTCCTATTGTGCGTAATCAGATACCAGCACTTGTAGCTGCTGCCAGCAGAAAAGGTCAACACTTGATTGCTGTCCTCTGTGGCTATTACTAAACCACTAAAAAGACACTGCAAAACAATTCTAACAACACTCATTACGATGCAGTAGTTTGTTTCCACTGTTTGTTGTCACCTGGCATTGCAAATGTTAGGACCAGTGTGATTGCCAGCTACAGGACCATTGCCAGTCTACCTCTCCCAGTGTGTGTTGCAGTGCCAGACCAGCAGTCTGCCAAGCCGAACCGGCTCACTGACCTGATCTTGCGGCTTTGGACTCCCTCCCCACAGGCTGGCAGGTCATCCACAGTGTTGATGGTGCAAATGGACCAGGGCTCCGTCCTCCAGTGGAACTGGCTGCATTCACTGTGGCACGGCACGGCCTCGTACACCTGGACACGTGCATGTGCAATCACACACACATGAACAGACACACACATACACAGAGATAAAAAGGGACACATATGAGGGATTATGTGTGAATGAACATGTATACAAATCAGCTCACAAGCAAGCCCCCCTCCCAATCCCCCACACATACACACACTCTCACACTCATATTGCACGTACAGATAAGAATAGTTGGTGTACACACATGTAGAAAATGTAGATCATATTAGGGACAATTTCTCCTTCATACTACACTAATGAGGTGTCTCAAGGTTAGAACCTCTATTCCTTGTGGGTTTTCTTTTGGCAAATCTAACAAGAACAAAAAAAAAAGAATACTTCAATTCTTAACTTAAATTCTCAAGTACAAATTCTTACCATTAATCTTGAAGTTATACATGTCTTCATGCAGTTTTACATGACAAGACTCTCGCTTAAGAAGACAACGTGTGCTAGTTTCTTTTTATCACATTAAAATTAATGACTTGTGCTGGTTTATGGACATGCATAATGCTTCTTTGGGAGGTTCTGACGTCTATGTGTAGCAAGCCTCCTACTTCCAATAAGAGAAGAAATGTTGCCAGACATGCTGGACATAATAATATCAGGATGATGTCCCTTATATTTTCTACATTCAGAGTATGTCAGGCTAACAAGTAACTGAAAGCATCGGAATAGATTGTTAACAGTGCACTTTTTACCACAGAGTGGCTCTGAACTAACTGATGGCCACTTAACATGCTACTGCAGCAGGAGAAGACAAAGAGGTATTTTATCCACACCGAAATAAAACCTTTGCATGATATGGAGAGAACAGCATGGGGTGTTTAAAACAACAATGACCATGGCAAAAGGCCCTTCAGCTGAGGATGTAATTGGCTGGATATCGAGCTGATTCACCTCTCCCCACTCCACCAGCGAGTCTGGCATGTCTGTATAACCAAGGGAACAGCCAGTGCAATGCTCCTGTAAACACATGTTTACTCTCAATCCATGTAACAGTCTGCCACAGTAAAAGGTATACTCTAGAGGACAATTTGTGGAAAAAGCTATGACAAGCTGTAATGGGTGTCTGTAAGTGTGTGTGTGTGTGTGTGTGTGTGTGTGTGTGTGCGCAGACGAGAGAGAGGGAAGAAGTGTCGAGTATTCCCTCCCCTACGGGCCACACAGATGCCTATTACACACCCTCATCATCTCCCATCTGTCCCCGCAGATGCCCCTGCTGGGTAAACTGGCAACTGCTCTGTTTCCCACTTTCTCCATTGCTACAGTAGGAACCCAGCTCCAACTTAACAGCTAATTTTTATCACCAGACAAACGACTTTCAAGTCACTTTCCACAATATACACACTATTTATTGAGTACTTAACACCATTTGTTAGGTGAGAAATCATGTGACCATAGCACTTACCAAATGGGTTACAGTACCATAACACATAAGTTGTCAGAGAGTTATTAAATAATTTGTTGGCAGGTTCAAGCTGGTGCACTGCAACACAAAGACGGAACAGAAAAAATACAGGATTCGCTCCTGTGTGCATCTTGGCTCACACAGATTTACGAGCGCTCATCGCAGAGGAGAAAGGAATAAAGGAATAGGTCATCAGTTAGAATCTGTTGCTATAGACCAGATCCTCTCATTGGCTAAATGTTATGCGGGCAGTCACTAACCTCCGCTACTTTGTTCTCTTATAGAAACTTCTGAAATCTTTTTCATTTTTTTTTTTGATAAGCAACACAAAAATGATATTACCCGACTCAATTTCTTTGAGCACACTCTCAAAAGCTTTACCAACTATTCACATATAATGTTCTCTAGAAAATTTCAGTCAGAGTCCCTACAGTTACAAAGGAGACGGAATATTATCCAAATGCACTTCACATAAATTATTTCCATCCATGTGGCACTCTCTCTAATCAAACTATTGTTCTTCCTCTCGACCAAAAGACCAAAGGGGTCACAGGAGTATGTGATTAGCACAGATCTGGCATGCAATTTCTCTTCATTAGCTAAAGCAGAGTATATGTACAGAATGAACAGCACTGACCTGAGCCTGCGTGGATGTCCATATTAGAAGTGCATGACAAGCCAGAAGTTGGGCAGGGGAGAGAAGAACAATGATATGATCATTAGTTTAGATTTTGCCTGCAGTGACAGAAATGTAGTTTTTTCTTTAATTTGATTTAAGAATACTGCATTTTGCTCTGTGCTTCATTAATGAGGGTAAGGGATGATTAAGCGCTTCATCAGTTATAGTGGATCCAGCGGTCCTGGATATTTTGCCAAACTGAATGATTCATAGTGTTGAGAGAGTTTTAAAGTGCTGCAGTTGGTTGCAACAGCTGTGCAATGCCCAGACCCGCAGCTGAAGGCAACTCCCAGAAATTAATTTGTCTGGAGATGGTGAGAGGGAAGTCGGCGTGAATGAGCATTACGCTCAGAGATGCTGTGTGCTCTGTATCTAAACAAGGTTGTTAAAAGTAACTGTTATATTGTTGACAAATAACTATTCAGGCTCTCCTGATTCTTCACAGTAAAAAGGGGCATTCAAATAAAATCCCCTGAGCTAAAACAACTCTAACACAGGTATCTCAACCGAACGCACAGAATGCTTGTGTAAGCCAAACACTTTATGCTTTATGCAGTAACAAATGGACACAGCAACAACATTCATCCATGTATACACTGTAAATCCCCCGATATGGCAAAACAGCCACTTTTTTCATCTTCATTCATTCATTCATGACTGCACATCTGAGTGGGATTAAAAGCTTAGGATCGGCTCAAACTCATTTTCATTCCTGGTTAAGAGGCAACAGTTAATGATCACTAAATTTCTCAGGTTTGTATAAAGAAAATATTTGTGGGTTGAAATTGCCTCACGCATGGCACGGAAAGTAAATGGCATTATTGTTATTTTTCTCTCATCTGCTCTGTGAGATAATGCTTTCATCCAAAAAAACATGATGAGACTTAATGAGAACCTCATGTGCACACACAAATGCATTCTGTCTGTTCCTTCGCAATGATGCACACACACACACGTGCACACACACACATACATACACATACACATACACACACCACACACACACACACACACACACACACACCCATAGACACACACACACACACACACACACACACACACACACACCCATAGACACACACACACCCATAGACAGATAAACACATTTCCAAAAAGGACATGTGATGTGCCAACAGGCCCTCCTGCAGGGATGGCAATTTATTGCAAACAGGGAGAAAATGGGGCAGGAAGCCTTAAAGAGGAGCACTCTCTCCCATAAATCTCTCTAACTGTCATTGTGTAACTACAACTTCAAATAGACCGTGTTATTACTGTCAGCGAGTCCATGGACGAGTTAGAAAACAATGGCTCGTCAGAGAAACGCAGTGAGATCTATCCCCATGTGATGGTGACCTCTCAAATACACTCATGAGACGATAAGTTGAAAATGTGCCACCATATAATGCAACTATTAGGCTGACTGCCACTCTTAACACATCTAAAACATCTATTTGTGCTTTTTAGAAAAAGGCGTGCAATACTGACGCAAAATGAAACCTTTGTTGTTCCTGAAAACTGAAATCCAAGTCACTGTAAATGATTTAGATGAGAAAAGATGACATGAAATGCAGCCACAAGACCTAGAACCATGCGTGTTGGCTGTTTAAACAACCAACAAAGCGGCAAATGAGATACCATGCAATCTGCTCTTTAGCCCTATTTACACACGTCCCGATTTATGGTATTCTACATGTAACTGGAAGTGTCTAAACACTTTAGCCTGTAGAGCTGGATGTACTCCTCATTGTACCTGTAATAAGGCAACACACAGAGAGACTGTTCCCATAGGACTGAACGATCTATAAATTATCCAGTCATGTTTAGTATCCATCTCCAGCTTGGCATTATTGTAGATCTGTATTAAAATGTGCATTAAAATGAGTCTGCGAGTTTGGCTGTAATTTTTCCATGTTGTCAGTATCAAAGGAACACCCACACATGGCTTTTAGAGACACGACTGTAATTGTTTTAAAATGAAATTCAGTCTTTGCTCTGACCATTGAGTTGGTGAACATCTCTCTCTCTCTCTCTCTCTGTCTGTCTCTCTCTCTCTCTCTCAGATGTCAATGACGTAAATGAGAAAAAAAAAAAAAAAAACCCTTACGAGATTTATGTCTAACGTCCTCCTTGGACCCACAGCTGTGTTGGCTCTACTGCAGGGCAATAGCGTGACTTTCCATAATTACACAAATTATTTGGCCATCAAGTTCTATTTCTAGCTCGGAAATAATCTTTTCTCATTTACTTTGTAAAATATTACCAGCACAGAGCTCAATAGGATGGGAAGGCATTAGCAGAGAATTTTCACAAGCACTTAACCCTGCACCAGCTTTTAATAATAACAGTCAAAGGTCTTTTTCACCCACTTAAAGAAATAGAACGAGCATACCTATCATATCAGTGCCAAGACCTCTATGTCACAGTTCAAATGAGTATGTATATGATCAACTTTTAGTTCAAGGAAATAACACTGATGAGCACAGAGAACACTGGTAAAGCCACTGCAGTTCACTGTCACAACACCACCATCAGGCCCAATCTGTCTGTCTCGTTTCTGGTATTGTTATAATTTTATCAGTATTTTATTATAACTGGTACAACAAGACATCTGTTCTTGGCGAGAGCTGGATTCTCCTCCTCTCTGGAGAAGAATAACTAGGCTAGATATTATAGTGTAAATGTACAGCACTGTTCGGTAGAATAAATATACAGTCAAAGTCAAAGAAATATAATTAAACATTCTTTTATTGAATTAATGTTGAGCACAAACTAGAGCTTGTTAGTTCTATTTCAGGTTATTGGATTATGATCTCGGAACAACAGTCATCGTAGTTATCAAATAATAAATGTATGTAATATTCACCCAACCATTCAATAGAATTTATTTTTCTTATTAGTAGATAGAAGCTATGATTTGTTTCTGAAGTCAATGCTGTGTAACATCTGGGTGGCCAGAGGCTTTAGAGAGGCATCAGAATATTTAAACTTTCTGGGAGGCTGCACTTCAGGCTGCTATAACAATATGCATGGTTTGTAATGCAGGGAGACACCACCTTTTCGGACTGGGCCTGTGGGAAGAGGGGTGGGGGGTGGGGGCAATGCTCTACGTTAATTACACCTCGCTGGCCTTAGGTGGTTCCATCAGCAGTTGGCTCCATCCAAATGTCTTTTGTTCTAATGAAGGAGAGAGATGAGTTTAGCACCTGGGTGCAGTGGGGTAAAAGATCTAAATTCAAATCGTATTCTAATTCTATTACCTAATTTCTAAATCAAATTTATTCTCTGTGATCTTTTTCATATATTTGACATTCAGGCAGATTATATATATATATATATATATATATACATACATAATCTTACTCCTACAGTGTGCATTTTCAGGAGAAATGCTGTTGCATACTTCCCTTGCTCACCCTACCTCAGCTTCACCCTGGCTGCACCGTGTGACTCAGATGTTCCCTTCTCTAATATAAAAACCTTTTGACAGAAAGATATACAATGTGAATTCACAGGCAATCCTTGATGAACCTTAAAAAAGTTAGATGCAGTTAAAAACACCTGGATGTTATGTTTGTCTTATAGTTCAGGTGTCGTTGTGGTCGACTGAAGGGAGTGGTGGGTGTAGAGCCTCTGAACAGCGGAGGAGGTGCTTCATATACTGTAGGTTGAGCATCCTGGCAGCGAAGGGGCTGTCAACAGCAGTTATGGTGCACACAGTGGGTGGAAGGTGTTGCACGTAATAGATTTGGTCATCACTCTTCCACTCCCACATACTCTAGGGAAACAAAAAGAACATCCCAGGACAGAACTACCCTCCTTCAATAGTTTGTCTACTATCGTTTTGTCCCAATGCCACTGCTCCAGCAGAACACAACACAAGAGATAACTGATGCTGCCACAGAGCTGTGCAATGGATTTGGAGGTTCCTTGTATTCTTCCTAAGTCTCAACCATGGCTCTTCTTGTGCAAAGCATACCCTCTATGTTGTCAATACAGGTCACCGAGTTTTTTGGGAAAAACACTTAGCCTTTTGTAAGGATGCAAAACCTGTATGTCCACTTTGAAGAAAATAGAGCAGGTTATCCATCAACCACAGACTTGGAGGTTTGATCCCCAGTTCCTCAGTTCCTCCTTTACACCTGTCACCTTGAGCAAACCCTAAATTCTACCAATGGTCATGCCAGTGCCTTTCCTGTACTATATGCAGCGGAGACAATACAATTTATCAACATACTCAAATTAATAGATCAAAAAAAATCTCTTCAATGAAAGGCAGCACTGATAAACAGCAGATGGCCATAAGTTCAGTGAGTGTGATCCTTGTCCAGCAGCTAATCCAAAGACGTAAACAAGAGTTCAGCTGTTTGGGCCTAATTTATGACATATGAACAGCAAGGCATGCTGTCATACAACTCAGTGCTTCTGAATTAATTAGGTTTATCTAATGCTGAGCAGAATATGAAGTGTGGAGAATCTGAATCTGAATGTGATGACCCAAAAACCATGCTGTGTTTCACTTGCAGCCAGTTAAAGAAGGAACAAAGGATTTAAAGAGAATCTAGAATTATTACCCTCTCCTTGTAACCTCAGGTTACCAAGCTGAGCCAAGAAGAAACTCACCAGGATAACGCCAACAACATGAGGGGAAACCTCAACAGCTGGAAACTAACCAAGTGCTGACATGAGTAGTCAAGATTTACTGTCGTTGTAACCAATAACATATCGTACCTCAATGTGTTTTGCCAAAGGTACCATGAAATAACCCACACCCAGATCTGTGATGAAGCAATAAAAACCTCCCAACAAATGAATGGCTGTAATGAACTGTATCTACTGTTTTCAAAAAGAGGCACAACAGCAAAGCTCAAAGTTTCCGGAGAAAAACAGCCATGAGCATCAGCACCCTCACAGCTTACTGACATTTGCCAAGCGTTAAAAAATACTCAGCAGAACTGAGCCAAGACATCCATTCATGACATGCAAACACAAAGAAAGCACCAAATGCTTAGTTTTGGTGAAGCAAAGCAGTGAGGCTTCAGAACTCACTGTTGACAATAGTGATCTATATGGTAAAAAAAAAAACAACAACAGCAGCCCACCAACAACACAAGCAAGAAAACACTGACTTCTGCTTTGAAGTGCGTGCTTGTGAACAACCGCTTATATTGAATCAGTCATTACCAAGAGTTGCAAAATGCTGTCAGGAGCAGTGGAATATGGAGAGCGGACATGATTACTTCCACCATAAATCTGCCGTAGAGCGGCATGATCGGACGGTTGGCATACAAGCTTGCTGATTAAATCCTATTCTCTAGCTGCTGATGCTCTTAATGCGTGAGAAGAGCAAAACAGCTTTAATAGATTTTAGAATAGCATTTTTTAAAATTTTCTTTTTTTTACCCATGATTCAGGTTAATATTTTGTGTGGACATCCCCAGAAGTGACCAATTCTAATTGTGTCAAAACACAACATCTGTGTTCAACTGTGATAAGTACACCCGGGGATGGACAACTGTGTTTCCACGCGTGACATATAACGATGTTCAAAACTGATTCAAACCCTTGATTAATATTCCATATGAAACACATGGTTTGTAGGAGAAAGGGGCCTCATTATCAAGTACTGGTAATTACCTGATAATTATGTTCCTCTCATCTCTACCTTGGCTGCGTCTTGTTAAAAAGAAGAATAAAAAATGATCTAAACTACTTAACAGAGGCCACATCAAGGCACAAATTGCCACACTGCTACTTTGGAGAGCCTTTATTCTCAAATTTAGGCATATTCTCTAAGTCTTTATGTGGCATTTACAGTGCAAAAGCCATCAGTGGAACAGAGTGCATCAAGGCAGAACAGCTTATTCAACAGAACTCGTTTCATTTCCCCTCTGACCTGTGCTTGCAACAAGTGGAAAGACATGTCAAAAGTACAAATGGCAAACACATTGATTTCACTGTATTACACATTACATTCCACACAGTATGACATGATTCTAGGGAGATAAAGATCTTACAGTCACACGAGGAGGTGATTTCCTTTGAACAGAAATATATAGAAACTCTAATTGGTGAACTATTCCGCACAACCCAATTATTAAAATGAACAGGATGATAGGTGAAAATGACTAATCCGCCACAGACTCACACCATAATTAGGAAAATTCATTACACGTCTTCCTGCAGGTGATAATTGGTGATGAGTGTGCTTTAAGTTGTTCATGTTTTAGATCAGGATTTGCGATGTAGCACCTTGTTTTTGAGGGAGCACAAAACATACACCCACAAGAACAAAGTGTGTTAAAAAAGATGACACAACCGGTGCAATAAACAATCAGCTCAATATTAATGATAGTAATGCAATATGATGCAGTATATCTAACAGTATGGAAAGCATTTCCTCTGTGTCCACACAAACAAGGTCACCTGTCTCATAATTCAGCTGATGTCTCTCACACCCGCAAACCTCCCACCACATGCACAACGCGCGGCAGAGAAATGTTGGAGGTGGACAGGGAGGATGTTTCTCCGTAGGACAGGGCCTGAGTGGATGGAGTGGAAGCCGCAGGAATTAATAGAATGAGAAATAACCATCTGACTGGCACATCGGCTGGCAGACAGTCAAGACATTTCTGTTGTGTTTTATGGAAAAAGCACATATACCACTTGATATCTCAGCATTTGGCGGCAAACACTTGAGGGAGTTATGAGGAAACTCAAATGTCTCCAGTAATTATAGATCCAATTTGTGTGTTTCTCTGGGAGCTTTGCTTTGACATCTGTGAGCTCTCTGTGGCAGTCTCTCAGGGCGTCTTGTTCTCAGACAAGTGTTGTACTGTAAAATAGAGCGAGTGTGTGTAAAGAGCCACCATTTTATTAGCATCTGAATATTTTGTTGGTGTTGTTTTTTTTTTTTTTAATACCAATTTTAAAAATCAGTGATAAATAATTCCAGTAAAAGTATAAGTTCAGTATATGTTTCATTTTTTTTTTAAATATTCCATTCTATTGAAAGTAGTTGACAACACTGGCTACATGTATCTCCATGAGTTAGTTGAAAACACCGTCTCAGGCTGACTTGAATTTTTCCATTTGACCCGTTTAAATTGAGAACCTTGAAAAGGGGACACTTGATGGCGACATGCGTGATATTTTGCAGATTAGAGAATTTCATATAAGCCTGCTCTCACACTGTTATTTAGCTGTGTTTGCTCAGCTTACAGACTTGACCAAGCAAGACAGAGGTTACCATGCTTTATTGTTTGTATGTTCAAACAGTATGTTTTACTTTTAACATTACAAGAGACAAAGCAGGATGAGGACTAGCCGACCTTGACAGACCTGATGTGCCAATTACGTTTTCTCAGCTATGATTGGAACATCTCTCTTTGGGGCTCCCCGAGAACGCATCTAAAATTTGTAATTGAGAGTTGGTCCATTAATTATTATTTTCCCTATTGGACACAAGATTCAGAGTGGGCAACGGATCCACAACGGCAGGTTTTTCAGTGGGGTGATGCATGTATTATTCATCTTGATTAACTAATTCTTGATCACATTTTATCAATGCAAGAAATCTTACAGACGATCTCATTAAAAACACACATACAGTTTATTTCACAGCCAAACTCCTACATAGTCTGTTCAACAATGTGGCCATTCTTGCTCATTATTTTCATGGAGGCACTTTCTCTTTCTCTTTCTCTCTTTCTCTCTCCCTATCTATCTCTCTCTCCCTATTTTTCTTGCTCACTCAACCGTGAGACGAGAGGATGAGTTGTGGTGCACTGTAAATTTCATCTCTGTCAAGCCGGTCACTTCCGGCCGCGACTCAAGGGGAAACATCTGCTGTTGGGAGCGAGGCCAGACTTTGGCTAGAGAGTGGTTCACAGTGGGTGATAAGAGCAAGTGTTGGCTAAGAGAGAAGGGCTCCCCATTAAGAATGAAAATATTCTTTGTCATGCTGCACCCTAACAGAGACTTAATGAAGTACCGAGGACCAAATGTAAATCAGAGAGCTGAACAGGGAAGTACACAAGCTTAAGAAAAAAGGCAGCTTTTTTTTGACCATGTGGAGAAGTCAGCTGTGACCATCCAGGATTTTATTAGTTTAACAGCAGGGAGAGGTAACCTCATACCTCTACAATATGCCTGCTGAACTAGAGTAGAGGTTATAGTATCTTTCCACCCACACCTTGGACAGATGTACTTGACTTTAAATGGCCAATTTGTTAATGTTAATGCTGAGCCCTAGTCCACCCTCAGGATAAATCCGCGAGGGCATTGGCTAAAGCGAGCTCCAGTTTCAGTGGTGAGGGTTATTACAGGGCATTTCAACTGGGGCCATACAGACCTTGTTAGTGGGCACTTAACCATCTGTACACAGATCTCCACTAGAGCACGCTGGAATATTTCTCAAACAACCGTGCTTCATCGCAGTACTGACCTCTACAAACTAAAGAGAGTTTCACGCCCATTCAAGCATACAGGTAGCATTCATAAAAGACTTCCCCTCTTTAAACGATGACCCCATGAGAGATACACAGTCCCAAAATATTCAGAGCTACAGATCCTACCTGACTATGGAATATCAAAAGCTCCCATCTGCCCACTTCTCCCTCTCTACCGCTCTTCTTTTTGTTACTAAACATTGCCCTGTTTTTTTATGTCAAGGAAAGGGCATGTCTTGCAAGGTAAATTATTTGGTCTGACGGCAGACACCAGAAAATGAACAGGTCACCGAGGAGTCCCACAGGCTGATGGCTAATAAACCTTGTCATTGAAATGCGAGCAGAATGCAACAGGCCCACCGTGTATTCATGTGACAGCACTGGAGTGCAACACAGCCAGGGCATGAAGAAAATATATTCCAAAAGCATTCTAGAGATGTGTAAAAAATTAAGATGCAAACTACTGCATGCACCATACTAATGTTCCTACTAAGAAAATGCTGTACGTCTGTGTAAACATGGAGCAGTGTGGACACTGTTAGCATTTAGTGAACTAATTTCTCTACATTTAGTAATGGCCTTCCTAACACATGTACACTGTAGTGAAAATATCGATTGCCCTCATCTGCATTCTATCGTATGTCTCCCTGGAAACAATCAAGTCCGTGAAGAAGTGACTTGAGAACAATGTAGATGGATAATGAGGTCAACTGTGTTTGCTTGTTTTTGCTGCATCTCAGTATGAAAATTTAAATGCATTATTCTAATGTCCATAAACTGCAGATGAGCAAGTGTTGTCCCTAAAGAATACCTGAAAGAGTTAATTTCCACTTCAATGGCAGACTAGTAACAAAAGCATCGACATAATGTAAAAACAGTTACCTTCCACAATTTGCTTCCCTCTTGTGCTGTACAGGATGTCATGTATACAAAACAATTGGTGCAAGCCTTACCTGGTTTTTCAAATCCAGCTTGGGGCATGGGCGTCCACCATTGAAAGCTTTCTCCCTGAGCCACTTGGACCTGATCTTCAACCCGCTGCCACAGGATGCACTGCAGGCTGACCAGGCTGACCAGTCGCTGAGCTTACAGTCTAGGGGACAAGGAATGTGGCAAACCTCCACCATGTAGCCTGAAATTGAACATTGGCAGACAAGAGGATCACTGAGGATCACATTAATAATGTCAGACAGACGTGCCACTGGCCTGCGCTCCACCAGGCCTTGGTCTTGCTCACCGTGACACAGAGTGCTAATTATCTGACTAATGAGTGTCTCATTCCTACACTGTGCCAACATGGCTTAGTGAAACTGCTCTAGGATTTTCACACTGTATAATCTTTTTTGTTCTCTACTTTTGATTGTTTGCTGTCTTAAACAACTTTATTTTTTACATTAAATCATTATTCTCTTGACTTTCTTTCACACTAAAATGAAATATGCAGATAAATGGGACAATGATGTAGCAACTAAAGATTTAAAATAACCACCACTTTCAAGATGACGTTGACATTATTCTGACATACTGGCAAGTAGTGGATATATTGTTTTAATTTGACCCATCAGCAAAGAACTACATAGTTTGCCTCCAGAAAAAAATCCAAAAAAGACTCAAGAATTGCCGTTAAACTGCAAATACATTAACATCCCACAGAGCTAGCTGGCTATCTAGCCATATCCACGAAAAACAGTGGCAGGTGTGGATAAGATCAAAGTAGCTGCACAGGTTGTTGTAATTCAATTCATGCTCTTGAATCAACTATTTTTTTCTTTTTTTTTTTTAAATCAAATGTAAAACCCTTAACAGCTCCTAGCAACTGCTGAAAATTACGCCAGGGAGAGAGATAGGCTGTCAGTCAATCCTGACAAGTTAGGGCAAAACAAAATCAAATTACCCATTTCCAGCAAGAAATCGTCTAACATGAACACAATGTCAGGTTCAATGAATGAAGTGAAGCAAAATACAAACTTGTCTGATCATTAGGTTAAACATTATATAGATTAAATTACAACGTTAATCATTCATTATTTGATATTTTAATGGACAATAAAAAGAGAAATTATAAAAAAACAAATGAAATATTAATCTGTCATTAATAGTTCTAATTACAAAGTAGGTAATCTAATAATAATAATGAATTCATAAATAAATAATGAAATTTAAGAATCTATGTGAACATTCAGTTTAAAAAGAGAAATAACTGCATTCACAAATTGAATTAAGAATACAGATTTTAATAAGGCATTTAAATGGGCAATTTGAAATGCAAAATGCAAAAATTACTTTGTAATTTAGTCTATTTATTTATAGTAATTTGCAAACAAATTTATGACACTTGTGGTCCTATGTAAATCATATGTTGTAGGATTCTTAAGAGCCAATATGTTATGCTTATGCTCAAAATTCAAAATTCATGCAAAATATTTCTGTTAGTCCTACCTGAGTCTGTACAGAGCGTAGGGTCGACCAGGTGTCCCTGCTGGTCGATGCAGGCCACAGCTCTGTAGCGCAGACCTTTGCCACACTCCTTTACCTCCCGGTGGCTCATCCAGCCCTGCAGGGACCCTGACACTGAAGGATCAGGCAGAATGCACACAGACCAGTTCCCATAGGGCTGCGACAAAAACTCATCACAGGGACAAGACTCTGTCTCCTCCAGTGGGTACAACTCCTCATTCAGGCAAAGCTCCTTTTTTTTGCTGCGACCTGCAACAGAAGATGGACAAAACAATGCAGACTATTATGCATGAAGGGGACTAAAAACCTTTTCTCATGGTTCTGAATGCAGAAATAGGTTTATTGTTTGATATAAACATCAGCTGATAGAAAGCCAAAAAACACTTTGATGAGAAGGAACTCTAATTAAATATAAATAAAAGTAAAAATTACACTGACTTATTTTGGTTATTTATTTATGATCATTCATAATGCATTCGAACTCTTACAATGTCAGCAGGTGAGCAAATGAGTGTAAGCTGTTAATTTGTATCATCGCAACTGTGAATGACAGAAGCCACATTTAGGCATCGACAGTCATGTTATATTTATTTTTAACACTGTTTTTGCCATAAGTGGAATACACACTTGCATATCTTCCTAGACTCCATCATCTTCCTATTGTGGTGACCTTTCACTCATGCTAGCTAAAATTATATCCAACATCTCAACTCTAACCACAGGCTGGATTTCCCCTAGGGGATTAATGAAGTATCTGTCTACCTATCTATCCATCCGTCCGTCCGTCAAGGTGTTCTTGCACGCTATTTAAACAAATACGTAAATATTGCATAGTACATATGTGACACTTTAAGTTACAAAAACCACACAAATTAAACATTGTCATACACATATAAACAAAAGACTTTCTCCAATACAAAAACTAAATGTTAATACCAGTGAATACTGTTTTTTTTTTTTACAACTTCAATATGTTTTCTTATAGTTTGATTTTCTCCAGAGAAAACTAATGCAAACTAATAATTACGTTGTGTGAAGCATACTCCAAAGGCACTCTGAATAACCCCAGGGAATGATTAGTGCTATTTGCAAGCATATTAAACTTAAATTTTTGTCTTTATTTTGAAGCCCCTTAGGTGAATGACGCACATAACACAGACGTTAAGTCTGTGTTATGTGGGTCATACAAGCCATACAAGTATAAGCTTAAAGGTTAAAAATGAGTATTTGTTTTTCTCTATGATATAGAACAACACATTCTGTATGTGTGTTGTTTCTATGTAATGGAATACATTTTTATATTTGTTATCGTTATGTCATTTGTATGCACATGTACCATATTTGGGCATAGCACGTACAAACATTGTGTGTTACCATAAAGACCAGAGAGAGTAAAATCTGCTGCAGCTGCATCCACCGAGGAGGAAGCAAAGACAGACAAATTCTTTCTCTTACAAATATCTACTGATGAACATTTATTCCCTGTCTTTCTACCATGACCAGCACACAGTGGTTGTAGCTAATCAGTGATCAACAGTGCACAGGCAGGATGTGATTCAAGGGACAATAATGGAGAGATGGCCAGATAATGGAAAGCTGGGCACAATGTTATATTTTTAGTCACTGATGTTCAGCACAGGAGTTATTTTGGGTTTAAGACATGTAATTCTTTTTTTGCTATATCCACTTTCCCTCAGTCTACCTCATCTTGTTTTATGCCACTTAATAATTACATATTTCCTAGAATGCCTTCTGGCAACCCTTAGTCACTGTACTACAACAACAGACAGAGGTATTCTCCCTTGTAACCCACAAAACACATGTCTTGTGGGTTGCCATGTCATCTACTGAGACTTCCTTCGATAGAGAAAATGCTTCTGAGAAATCAAATGTGATTTTAGCTGCACCAGGAACATGTCAACATTTATCAATGAATATTAGAAAGTGGCTGGAGAGACGCACCATGGATTGGCAATTTTTCCCCCTTTAAAAATCTAATTTAAACTGTGAAACATCAACTCCAACACCTTTGTCTAATGAGGCTGAAAATATGTTGTTGTTTTTTTTATTTCAAGCCTAAGACCTCTATTAGGACCTCCATTATGACTATTAGAGCTAGACTCTCAATAAAGTACACCTCAGGCTTCAAATAATTAGTCCTGTCCATTATATCTGTTAAGTATGAATATATTAGCATGAGAAGGAACGTATCATAGCAGCTGAAAGGCATGTGTTCCTCTCAGATACTGTCAGTTTTAATATCTGGACAAGTAACAGATACAACCTGTCAAGCTGCATCTGTTCAAAAGTCTTTCTCATGATTGACCGTCCGCTTCACATCATGAGATATGAGATAAGACATATGTTGTTCTGTCCTCAACAGCTATAAATATCCTGCTGTCATCGACACATTAGTGTTTCTATAGTACATTTCATTAAATGAAAAGTCCCTGTCAACACCTCTTCATGTACATGTCAAGGCAAATCAAATAATGGATATGATAAGAGCACTTGATCCGATGCAGGATTTGCATTCAATTCATAGCATGTAATTCAGAGAGGCAGGCCAGGTAATGCAAATGACTGGACTGGAGTTTGGCAGATGACAACATCTGACATATCCTTACATTTCATTATTCTGTAATGCACAATTGTTATTTTTCAATTTTCCCCCAAAACTGTTGTGTCTTGATAGGATGGAAATGTAACTGTACGCACACCTTGAATCTCTGACCAATGAAATTCTTTTTAAGTCTCTCTTGGGGTTTAAGATTTTTAAATGAAGAGTTACACAATGAATGTGAAATTCATTCTGTTGCTCTGCATCGCCTTCTTGCAAGTGTTTTCATCAAATATTAACTTGAATGTAATAAGTTACATTACTTCAATAGGGTAATTAAAACACCTACATCACCTATTACATTTTTAACAGGGTAATTAGTCATTTGTAACCTATTACATTTCAGTGTTGGTAAGTAACCTCTCCAACATTGTTTATGACTAAATATGTACCTGCAAAACATACATTACATTCCCATCAGCCTCAGCTGTACGTGTACTATGGTAAAGCTAACACCTGCTTAATATCAGCATTTAGCTCAAAGCATCAATGTGTGCCAGTACAGCCCCACACTTGCATGGCTGTAGACTCACTGATCTGGTGAATATCTTACATTTAAGGCTCAAGTCAGAAAACTGACCCAGTAAAGTTTATCTAAGATTTGCTAACATCAGCTAACATTAACCACAATAAGTTACTAGTCAAAGTAAAGCTGCAATTGAACTTCTCAGTTTGTTAAATTAAGCAAGGGTTATATTGCATATTAAACTCTTCATTCCTAAGAGGAAGGATGTGCTTTTTGTTCTGCGCTTTTTTCTTCTTCTTGTGCTTTAAATGGAAACAAATAAGACGTATCTTATTCAAGGAACAGCAGGTTTTATATTGATTTTATGTTCATACAGTATTGCTTTTGAGATGGTTATTTTCTTGTTGTTTGGTCAAAATAAATCATGCTGGTCCAAAGAGAATGGAGCCAATCAACACTTTGCAGAAAACGTGTAAGTGCGGCTTTAATGGACTGCAGGCCACAGAGAATAAGAAAATTACTATGTAATTGTCATAATTAGAGTAAACACCTTGTTTCTGTACTGTAAAATGTAAGTGCTACCAGAATTCCTTGACCTGAGCCAGATGGAGACACACACACACACACACACACACACACACACACACACACACACACACACACACACACACACACACAGCTAATCCTGCTATGTACTTGTGCAGTCCTATTTGTTTCATGGATCCCGGGTGCCCTCGGCCTCCTGTGTGCCAAGTGAGAAGCCCATCTGTTTCCGAAGTGGGTCTGATTGCAAACATTCCTCACAGAGTGTGAACTCACTGCTGTTGCACTGCAATTCACCGACAATCTGTTCAATCTACACCACTGCTGGTGGTTGATTGAAGAGTGCGAGTGCAACATCACTTTGCTTTGACAACTACATCACGGGCAACAGCAGCACATAGGCCTACAGACACCACTGCAATATCCAACTTGTTTTAACAGTATGTATTTTAATTGAGCACAATTTTCAAAATGATCTCCGTATAATATTTGTTGTGCTGATGCTCCATTAGCAGCATAACACTGTGCTGTTGTCTTTATCTATGCAACACTGTCAAACATGCTGAAAAGCATTTGCAAATGTGGCTGTGACCGAGTGACGGAGCTTTAGCTTCCTTGTGGAATAGCAAAGCCACGGATGAATTACCTTGACAAAGAGGTCAATAGATAGAAAATAGATAATTGATCTCCCCTTCAGCGAAATGTCAACATGGACCTTTCCTCCACTTGACTGGATGACTGACCACACCCTGGCCTCATCTCAATTTTCAAAATGATAAAAAAAAACAAAAAAAAAACACGATGGATGTTCTACAAACACTGTTGATGCTGAATCATGTTTCATTTTTCATCTGAAGTGCTTCACGCAATATATTATATAATTTAGCAAATAACAAAACCTACAGCTCAGAATACATACAAGTCAGTAGGCCCAGAACAATTGACAGTCGTGTCATAAAAGAACAAGTCTCTCTATTCTATTGCACTCCACCTCTCCTGTAATATAATGCCTGACAATGAATCCATGTGCTGTGAGATAGGTGTATAATAAATCATAATACACCTCCTCTCCCTACACTCTGCCTAGTGCTTATACTATATGTTCAGTCAGTATAACTTTTTTCCCCCCCTTTTGTAAAAGTCTGAGTGGATTTCTCTGGAGTTTATTTCAATCAGTCAGCCAATCTTCAGTTAAATAGCATATGTAATAAAATGGAATAAAAACATAAATACATAAAATTAGCTTCATAATATCATAAGACAATTTAAGTCCAGACACAAAATTGAATCTTGAAATTATAAAAACAACCACAAAGTAGAGAAAACATAGGAGCAAAGAGAATACCATAAAATCAAATCAAATCAATTCAGCTCAAGACAGCAAACTGACCCTAAGAACTATAGTATTTGTAGGAAATGCCAGGCTACAATGACACACATGAGGTACTTAAAGGCTTACTCTGACAAAGAAGAGAATCTGAGCAATTTTGAATGGCTCAGTAACAAAGCCGGATAGTGTAGCTAAACCATTTATCTGCAGTTAAGCTCTTACGGATACACACAAACTCTGCTCTCTGATCTGTGGTAGAAATAATTCACAGAACTTAATGTTTGAATACCCATACAACGCTCAACATGCGGCTTGAGAAAGAAATTAGCTACGACTCAATACTTGACAATATAGAAAAGGGAAAAACATTCATCCTACCACTTTCTGAACATTTTTACCATCCAAGTCATGTCGTCCTTTCTTCTGACAGGAGACAGATTCAGATTATAGCTGCATCTGCTTAAATGTGCATAATTTAAACATCAATACATCATCGCGTTATTAGTGTTAAGACATCAAAATAATTACAAACAAACTAGACTGGCATCCTGAGTTTTCAGTTCTTGACAAGGGGTGACATCGTAATTGCAACAGGAACAAACAGTTGAACAGTTGAAAATGAAATCTTCATTTGTGTTTTGCTGATACTAGAAAGAGGCTTTCAATCTACTCTACCATAATGTTATTAATTTGTTTGATGTATTAATCAACATATAAATCAGTTAAAGATTGCAAATGATGTTTAAAAATGTTACTTGCAGAACTTTTAAAGATGCAAGTCATCTTCCAAGGATCATTTTTGTCCATTACAGGCAGTGATTGCCACCGTGGCACATCCAGCATACATTTCACTAACTTTTGGGTAGTTACAAGTATTAGGGGTTTAGAGGATGTTGCTATCGCAGCATACATTCAAAATTCCATGCTGGGATAGCAATATGTTCCTATGACAACTCTATTACAGGGCTATTAGCAATCAATTTCCTAGGCTGCATGTACTTTGCAGGGTGGAGATGGGGGTCGAACATATCCGTATCACAACGACTGATAATCTGCTTTTTATTTGTGTCTAGGTTACAGTCAGTCTCTGACATAAAGTGTGTACATTTTGGTGAAAGAAAATAGTAGTGAGTAAAGGAAAGAAACAGAACGCTGGCTGGCTGTGGGTTGTGTGGGGCCCTACAATATCATCAGAATCACCAGTTCACCTAATCTACATGTCTTTATACTGTGGAAGGGAATCGCAGCACCTGGAGGAAACCTGCATGGGAGGAACATGTAAATTCCTCAGAGGAAGGCAGCAGCCTGCACTTTAAAGTGACAATGCTAACTACTGAGCCACCCATGCTGCCCTAAAGGATTGTCACATGTATGCTGGAGCTCATACCTCGACAGCAGCAGGAAAACCAGTCAAACACACAGAACAGTCAAACTCTGCGCCCATCTTTCTATGGTTGTGAGGACATTTTGGCTGGTCTTCACAATTTCAAAAGGCAATTTGAGGGTTAAACCTTGGCTTAAGGTTTGGGGTTGGGTATTTATTTGTTGTGGTTAAGGTTACAGTAAGGGACTGGGGAATGCATATGTCAATCAGTGTCTTCAAAGCTAACGTAAGTCAAGGCTCAGTTTCTCTGCCGACGCCCCAAAATTGTAAACACACCATTGTTATGGGTAATATGGGAATGATACGAAGGGGTCTGTTAAATTATGACACCAGAAAAAAATATACACATACAGTAGTCAGGGAACACCTGTCATGATGTACAGACTAGACAATTGTATTCCTTGTGTATTGTACTTTATTTTTCTGTGAATTAGTGACAGAGCTGTTGTGTTTATAACATTCACAGTATTTGCCACTGTTCTCTATAGTGTAGCTGTAACAGCCTTTACTTATGCCATACCACTGACATATGCTGACTTTAGTCTATGGAAATAGAGATTTTCTTTCTATTTCTCCACTTCTAGGAAAATCTAAGATACATCCTCTACTGCTGAAAAGCATTCTGTTGAACAGCCTTTTGGGCCTTTAAAATTCAGTTTAGACACAGAATATACTGTAATATAGCTCAAGGAGGCTTTTCAGTAAAGCTGTATTATCTAAACAGAGGCCTTGGTAAGCTGCCAACTTCTTCAACCACACGCAAAAGCTTAAAACCCACAGTGGGTTCGTTACCTGACAGATAAATTTAAGCAAGTGTAAAAGTGGGCATAAAAGAGTTGAAATAGTGACTTATTATGACCATTACAACCCACTGAACATGAGCACACACACTCTTCTCAAAGCAACACACCACTGAGCTGAGGCTGATTTCATGTGTTGGATTCTAAGAGCATTACAGACGGAGACAGGGTATGTTTACTACAGCCCCTCTGGCATCGGATCAAATATTCATGAAGACAAATAGTATCCAGGCTGGTCTGCAACCACAGCATGTAATTCAGATTTTACCATCTGCACTGAAATAACAGATTACAAACAGTGAGAGACCTAATTTATACCTGACATAACACTACAGTGACAGTAGAAAGTTACAGTAACAGAGCTACAACAAGAGAACTGGTTATATGTTAAAGCACAGAGACTTATTAGCACATGAAGAAAATTCTGTAATTATATCAACCCTGAAGATCAAGGAATGTTCTTGAGATACTTTTTTTGAATGAATGTACAAGGCTACTACTTCATGTTTCCAACTGTTTTCTATACTACAAGGTTATATCTTTGCTGGTTCGTGCTTTGCTGTGGCCTTCTAAGTCAATTTAAATGTTATGTGTAATCTCTTTCATTTGATAATTATTCTCTTCTTACTCTAATTTTTGCCTAATTTTCTATTGAGTTTGCTTGAGAAATGAAAGGGTAACTGTTCTAAAACTAGAGTTATCCAATCAGATTTTTTGTTTTTCTTGTTGCCTAGTCAGAGAAAAGGTGAGCTGGCTCACTCATTGGTTAGCACTTCATAAACAGGACAGAAGGCCTTGTTTGTTTAGAACGTGGTAGGTGAATTGACCAATGACATTTGATTTATAGTGGGTGGGACCAAAAGTTATTACCCTAGGCCTTTCCAAAGACTCGAGGCCAGAGCTATCTCACAGGGTTCACCTTGTTCTGTCCAGGGGTTTAAGATAGCAGATCAGTGACAGCAGTCACAGCACAGATGGCAAAGTGATAGGACAGTATTCACAACTTGGTCTACTTTTATGAAAAACCCTTTTGATTCTTTTGATCGGTCAACCTTTACGGATTAGGAATATAAATAATTCAGGAACAGACACACAATCGGACTTTAAAGGTAGGGAGTCACCACTTTTTCACTGTCTTGCTGGTTTACAATGCTGGTAAATCTGAATGAATTATACTTTTATACTCATGATTTCTTTAAAATAAACTGAACAGTTGAAGTGTGGAGAATCTATTGCAGGTAACGGGTCAACTAAAGGCCTAGCTCTAACATTCACAGTTCAGCACTGGTGCTTTGACAGTAGCTTGATGTAGATTTATATCTATGTAACCAGCAATCAATGTAAGTGTTTTTACTAGTAGTAAACAATACTACATTTGTGTTGAGTGAGCTTCTCCAATAATCGTGAGAATGCTTGACCCAAGAGAGCAATCCAAAGACTAAACTGTTGTCTTGAGTGATATTTGTGCAAATAAAAGTAGATCCTTTACCCGTGAGTGAGCGCTTGCGACTTCTAGAAGTGCCACATCCAGTGCATTCAGAGAACTTGGACCATGCAGTCAGAGTGCAATCATCCTTGCAAACCACTCGGCACTCTCTGATCTGAGGGGGCGTGGGGCCAGCCCATCGCAGGCACTCCGTCATATTGGTTGACTCACCGCTCTCACCAACACAACTAACTCCTGCAAACACAGGGGGAGGTAAGAATGTCACTTCATGTCACACAGACAATGCACAACTAAACACCTCACCAAGTTAACATTGAGTTAGATCTTATGTTTTAAAACTTCCTAGAGATATTTTTAAGGTCATTTGTGTTACAACATTTCTGATGTAATCAGAAGGTCAGAGTCATATTCAGGTTTATGTTCAGTTGAATGGGTTCAGACAGGTTTCTACAGTCCAGTCATAGCATAAGTTATAAAGAATATCCCTGTGCAGCTTTCATGTTAAGATCTATTGAAATGCTAATTTAACCTTCAAGCACAACACCTTTATCAGACTTCTTCAGATAACTATGATTTATTGAATAAAACAAGATACTCATAATAACAGATCAACATGAAAGCTAAACACTTTTGACAGAATGATGTATACACAATCTAATCAAAGTACTGGTATCTGATTAAAGAGGAATAAAGACATCACAACACAGTGCTGTAACTGCAATATGTGATTATGTGTGCTAAGAATAATTATTTAGAACACACAGCAAGACCAGATGGGTTACCTGGTCTGATGTAGGACTCAATTAGCTGAAAGCAGACTTTCAGTCCAGTGTGGCTGCTTTGATAACTTTGGAAAATACCCCTGAGCAAGTTCCTTTTTTTTTATATCTCTGACAGCAAAATATAAACTTTGACAGAAGTGAGGCCACTCTTTCTCAAAAAAGAAAAAAAGTGAACATGTACTGCAACATGATACAGGACACAGAGGGCAGGGCTAATCTGTATCAAGAAAATCCATTGCTTTGCATTTTGTCAAAATCAAATATCCATTCAGAGTTGTAAATTTAAATCCTCTGTGTACCCAACTTGCACAGTGAGGCTTATAGTGTGTTCATCAGACCAAAAAGCATTTGTAAAGTGCTAGGACACAGTGCAAATGCATTATTAGTTTTTGTTCAAAATAACATCTGACTGAAACAAATAGGACGTTATGCTTGATAAACAGTTGAATTGGTTATTACATTACAAAACAGTGAGTTTATGTGTTGCTCAACTATCAGCCACTCAGCTGCACAAATAACAAAAGTTAGTTCACACAAATGTCTTAAGAAAATACATATCTTAAAGCACATTATACCAGTGTCACAGGAACCTTCATTAGTATGTAAATATATGCAGTAAGGTGCTTCAAAATCTAATCATTTACTCTACAGAGGGAACCTGTGGTGTAAGAAGGAAATTTCCATTGTTACTGTTCTCCAGATAGACTTCTCACAAAAACGCGCGACTTACATATTTCTCATATTTCATGTATCATAGTAACAACTCAAAAAGAAAAAAAAAATCATTCAAGATCATTTTTGCAAGATTTCAATAGTGACAGTAATACTGTGAATCTAGTAGCACACTTATCAGCAGGCCAGCATGGTGGGAAAGGAATAATTTCCATATTTTCCAACATTTGATATTTCAGTGTGCATATCAAGTATGCAGCACTAAGAAAGGCAGAAACATAAATGAGGATCCACAAAAATAGTTATAAATGCACACATAGTTAATTAAAGAAATCAAATAAAAAAGAAAAACAGGAACAAACAAGCAAGTGTGAGGACACTCTGTCCCTGCAGGGTCTGCTGGCTGAGGAGAGGGGTCTTTAGTAGCTTTGTCAGGTGCCACTGATCAGACAGGGGCAGCAGAGTGGCCTGTAGCTTAAACGCAGAAGGTATAAAAACAGACAGACACACAAACACACTATACAGGACATAATGTTAAAATGCATTGTTCTCTCATGCACGTACATGCTGGGATCTAAATAAAGCAACGTTACCAGTAAAGGAAACGTCACCTCCTCTCAATGCCTCAACATCTTTGAGGATTCACTGATCTACAAACATGCCTTTAATCCATTTTATTGATTTCAATTTGACTTTTAAATTTTGCCCTCTGACAAAAACTGCTGGGTTTCTACATGCTGAGAATGTGTGGGATGGTCATTTACATACATGGCCTCTACAAAGGGAGATGGTAGCTTTTATTAATGTGCCTTTATGTAACATTCACAATCAGAGCAATCGTGAATCACAGCAAAAAAAAAAAAAAAACAGAACTTTCATTTTGCAATGTATGTCTTTAAGTTAAACACTGATAATACGATGAACCTTTAAAGGTGAATTGTATTTTCCTTTGAACAAACCTGTTTGAGAAACAGCTAATTGTTAACAGCTGCCACATTATTAGTCCAATTAGCACCTCTGTGGGAATAATTATATGTCCCTGTTAGCATTTAGTTCTGTCTATTTACCTTGAATGGTCTTCTCTCTTACCCAAACTACTCCACCAGTGACAACCCCATTCTGTCATTGCCAGTGTCTTTTATTAGCAGAGGCAAGAACAGCAAGTACTGACATTCTGATTTTGAACTGGGAGCCATCCATTTTTAACATAATTATCCTACCCTCTGGTTGCCCAAGCCCATTTGTGTGGTCTCTCACATCGTCTCCGCTCACAAATGGTAACAATTTTTGTCACAGTATCTTTGTCACTGACAGGGATCATCTTTAATTATACAGTTGCTTAGAAAGGTGAACATCATTGAGGCTGAGCTGAAAACTACAAGCTTTGAAGAGGCTTGTCACCAAAAAAAAAAAAAACCCTTGTCTCTAGGTTTTAAAAAATCTTTTCTGGATTAATGTTGTAGACTTTGAGATAAAAGGACATTATTTAAAAATCTAAATCCTTCCTTTCTGTTTTTATCTTCTATCATTACTTTTAATACTAGCCTTTTCATCCAAATAAAACCCCCTCCCATCGTATATAATCTTCATGTTAATTCAGTCATATTATTTTCATAATGTTCGTCCATGGGATGCCTCGTGAAGAATAATGTGGACTAGCTTCATCATGGCCATTAAATCATATTTTTCCTGCAGCAAAAGATCATCAGCATGACGCATTTTCCATTGAATAATTTCTCAAAACAGTTCCAGCCTTACTCAGGGAGGGATTTAACACATCCAGCTGGTTATGAGCCACAAGTTGGCTAAATTAAGACACAGTGTGTTGTAGTTAGTGTGAAATCCATTAGCTCATTGCTATCGCTCCAAGTTATCAGCTACATCTTCACAGGTTTTCCAGAGTTGCTTGTTCTATTTAGTGAAACTGTTCCTTTCAGGCAAGGTTAGAATTCATCTTCTCAAATCCTCTCTCATTTAATTCTTCTTATTCGTGACCCCCGGCATGTCAGGTCAGTGCAGGTACCACAATCCTCACCTCATTCTATACTCGGTCAGACATTAGCATTCATTTAAAATGCAGCCTTGCGTTCAACAGACACAGACTGAAGCCACACACACACTGAGATGGGAGGAAGTATTTGCTCAAGCCAAGGGCATATTGGCTTTGTACACCACAAACCCAATTGGTTGCTTGTTTCTAAACCTTGGCCATGATTCTAACCTACAGGCCTAAGCCTGGGGGATCAGAATGTATCCAGCAATCTGACTACCAGTTTTAACTGGGCTGAAAATCCCTGGTTGCTATTTGAACTATTCTGTAACTGCTATTCGAATGTTTCATCATCACTAGCCATCTAGCAGTTTCCCAGAGTTACACAATATTTCTATTAAAACTTTCATTTTCGATCAAAACTCCTGTAATTCTCCCAAGAGCAGCAACCTTGCAACAAAATGCTGCTGACCCCATGGAAAATAACAGTTTCTACAATGGTTCCTGGTTACCTCTCAGTTAGGGGTAGTTCAGTGAGAATGTCACTGATGATACTAAAAAGAAAAACTAGGTATAATTGTGAAACAATACAATCTGCCCAAGGTTTAATTAAAATTCACATGTGACAGTTTATGGTTTGATGCCTTCACATCCACAACCTCTTGTAGATACATTTCTGAGGCAAATGTCGGAAACGCTGTTAAGACACAGCATGGATACAAACAATATCAGTGGAAACGTGCAAATTGGGAACAGATGCAGATGTGCATTAAACAGGAAAAACGGAGGCGAATGTGAGCTTAAAATGTTAAACAGCTGAGTTTCTGGTAACTTCTAAAAACAGCTTGCCTGAGCTGTTACACAGAGGTGCTGCTTATTACCCCAGCAAGTGTCAGAGCATTCAGACAGGAAACGCTTCCATTGGCTGTTTGTGGCCACAAGACAGAAAGACATAATTACACCCCAAAGCGCAGTGATACTCTGCAGGACCATGTCACCATGTTAACACTTAATGCTGGGTGGTGACAGTTTACACAAGATTAATAAGATAAGGGTTTTATCATATTGTATCCTTGTAATGCATTTTTTAACAATTGTTTTGCAGTGTATTGTTTATTTATTTCAAAATTTGCTGACAATTGCTAAAACACTGTAAATGTTATAACATATGAAATGATATAACAGATTACTATATGAGACAATTCATTATTTACACAGTGGTGCATGGTTAGTTAATGATTATTTCATCATTAACTAATGGTTTATTAATGAACTGCAACAGGTTTGTGATAAGTGTTTGTAAAAGACCATCGCTCTTCATTGGCTTGCAGTCTGTTCGCGAGGCAAGCCTCTGCAGCTTACACAGTGATTGCATCTATTACTCAGAAGGTTTATTTCACATTAGCCTCAACTGTTGTTGCACCTTAAATAAGTTTAATCTAAAACTGTGTGGATGCATGCATTGTTTCTGCAGGGGCGTCATTATCCTGAGACTATTTGACTGTGACCTGATGGGAACTGCACAGTACCTCATAGTTTAAATAATACAGCTTATAAGAGTAAAATAGTCTCTGTCTAAAAGCACCATAATCACACATTTTATTAGCCAGTACCTTCAACAACAACCTCCCTAACTGACTCTGTCACTGACTTTTGAAAGTAAGGATTTGGGGGCATTACTGAGCACTATAATAAATTCCTAGAGTATATCTTTAAGCTTTGATTTCAAGCCTACATTTCAATTTCCAGCTGAATTGTGACCATTTTCTCTGTGACATGTTAATAATGGCTCTATATTAAGAAATGTGGATGTAAGACAAAAAGTAGACTTTACTTCAGATGCAGCGCTAAAATGTATACATAACATTTACTCAAACCATACCATTAAATCTTACGACAAAATGCTACCGAAAGAAAATGCAGAGAAGCAGGCAACAGCCAGAGTATTTTACACTGGAACACGTCTGACATGATAATGCTGCACATCTTCCTTGTTCATATTCAGTTTCTCAATGAATAGAAATATTTGAAGTAGATACCATCTCACACACCCTTACAACAGAATGTGACTACAACCACTACAGTGAATACTGATATGTGGAAAATAACACAATGTTGAATATTGTGTCGGTGACTGAACTTTATGTGAAGGAAGTCTACATTTCAAACAGAAAAAAACTAAACAAATGCAAGTACTATTCTAAAATGAAAAATAGAAAATGAATAATGTGTAATGTGTTATTGTATTGTTGTTATTGTTATTGTAGTGTCTAAATGCGTCATATGTTCAAAACATTACATGAAATACATTACATGGAAACTGCATATTTACTGTGCAAAAGCAATTAAATGAATATAGTGAAAAGAAACTAAAGTTAACTCTTCGTATAGAATTAGAGGTAATATTATCTAATTCAGGTTGTATAATACTTGAGGGAGTGAGTGTTGATGACTGCATATAGAGGGCTCTGGCAGGGAAATGCAGCATTTTTAAATGTCCTTGAATACAATAATTGTCGAGCCTATTCTATAACTCTCTGTCATTAAGCTTCTGTTTTCTATGCTCCTTATATGGCCCTCTTCCCAATACCGTGGCCTAATTATGCCTCAATTTGACATTTATGTGTCCTTTTCGTTGAATTGGTTCAGTCATTCATTGAGTGAACATAAACTCTGGATAACGTCTTTGTCATTTAAAATCTATATTTAAATAATATGTTTCTACCAACTGCAAATTCCAAACTCATACTTCAGTTTTTGAAATGTCACAGGTATTTAACTTAGTCATTTTCTAATCATATTCAAATAGGAAGCTCTAAAGGTCAATGAGGCTTGCTCTTAACCTGAGAACACTACAGACACTTTCCCCATCTTCACCAAAAAGTCACAGAAATTCAATTGAGAAATGTCAGTCATAATTACACAGCCAAGTAAAAGTGAGCAACAGTGAGAGCAAGAAAAATGCGAGAAGGTTCTCAAGGCAGAACAGAAAGCCACTGAAAACTTCACACGAATCCCATCAGTGAACTAGATAGAACACCCAGTTTCTGGGATTTATTGGGACATTTACTCTCCTCTAAACGAATCTGAAATGATCCAATTAGCACTCTGGCTTTTTAACGATTTGGGCCAGTGGCAGTACCTTTCCCGACTCCACTCAGAGAAACACAATTCTTCACGACAAACACACAAACACACAACCCATTCACACATGCATGGAGCACGATCGATTAGGGGACACAATGGAGATCAAGGGACATGATGCAATACTTATGATATGCTGCTAACAGTAATGACTATATCATGATACAGATAACTCTGCAATATGGGACTATACTGCAGACATTCATCAACAACACAACAGAATAATTTCTATAACTAAAGCTGGGAATATTCCCGTATTGTAAAAAGAATGTTTTTCATTAAGCAGGAATCATGCCATGTAGAGCTGTGAGGAGTGGCAGAGGTTTCACTCACAGTTTTACAGACAACAGAGATAAAAAAAAAAGTGTTTAAAAATGTGCTGCCAATTAATTGTCTAACAGCCATAAATTGGCAATAGGCAGCTAGAAATCAGAGCTGCTCCAGAGTAAAAATGTCAGCAGCAAAGGAAGAATTAACCTCTAACTTCAAATAGTAAATCATCTAAAAACACATTAAAAACTGTGATATGAGCCAGAATATCATAAATATTCAAAGACATTTTTCAGTGCTGATCAATCACAAACGCATTTTAAAAGAACAAACTGTGATATCTGTACCAGAATATCAATATTATATCCATATACTGTATATTGCAAATAATTTTTTGTTGTATACAAAGCATTGACTAGTGTCACATACCACATCACTTACAGCCTATATATATATATATATATATATATATATATGTATTCACATTGCCCGTTGTTACATACGCAATGTAAAAAAAAAAGGAAAATGTAATCTGCAAATAAGATATTAAATTAGACAATATATTTTAGAAAGATTCATTCTAATGCCATGTTACTGCTGCTTTATTTAAAACTCTGTTTACCCGTCAGGAGTAAATTGGACAGCAGATTAATTCTGTGTATGGCATTGGTCTTTCTTTGTTACATTATTAATGGATTGTGTTCTGTGAGTGTGAGTATTTTCATTCTTAATTTGTGGTCTATAAATCGCAGAACTCTCAGACTTTATGACCCTGGGATCTCAAGAGATGAAGGACATGTTCACTTTTTCATCAAAAATACTCCATTGGAAGGGCACTGCAGCCAAACAGGTTTTTTTTTATGGTTTTATGAACTTTATTGTGCGAGTATGTGCATACAAGTGTGTACCATACTGTGTGTGTATTGTGTTTAATATACCTGATGTGCTTATGGCCAAGACTTACTGCATTAATTAATAAGAAACCAGTGTTGTGATGAGATCATCATAACAACCAACAGAGAGGCTCATCTCATAACACTCTGTGGTCAAATTGCCTCCTGCTTTATGTTTCCATCACCTACTTGTTAAAGGAGCAGTTTTGAAAGGGCTATTATGTCTAATTAAATAAGGAAAGAGATGGAAAAGGGAATCTTAAAATTGTGAAATGGCAGCAGCTGACATGTGTAGAGAATACAATAGGTCAGGGATGACACTTGCCTCTTGTTTCTAAACCAATTCCGCAGGCTTCTCCCGGTCCGCTTAATCCACGTCGAACAGAATCTGGAACCAGAGCACAACTGTGCCACTTGTGTGTCCTCCACCTACACGGAAACACAAAAGACAGAAAGATGTATAATTACAGTTTCAGGTTTTAGGAAAAAGGTTTTTTTTGTTTTTTTTGTTTTTATACAACTCATAATTTTTGGTTTGTAATTGGTGATCTGGACCAGATGCAGCAAACATGCAACCTCATAAATTGTTATAATTGCTGCTACAATTAAAATTTCTCACTTTGTCACTAAATTAGTGCAATTTGTGTCAAATTGCCATCTGGGTTGACTTTGGTTTGAACACTGAAGAAAACACAAACTGATGTCATACATTTTGTTATTGTAACTCTGTGTGAATGTCTTTTCAATACCGTGTCATAAAATCAAGAATCAGTTGAACACAGTAAACACTAAAACACACATATCATAGATATCCCTTAAGCAACCCTCTCAACTGATTATGTAGTGTCTAATGGTATTTACATTGGGTGCTCTTGTAATATACAGCATTAATTGTGGAATGTTGCTGAATGTTCATCTTGACCTGAAAGAAGGTAGGTAGAGACTGAGACTCTGTTGTTTTCTGTGTGTGCGTTTTCCCCGATGTTTGTCTCATGTTTCGTGTCACGTTGTGTTTCATACATAAAAAAATAAAAATAAAAAAAACTGGGGGTGAATTATGAACTTTGCAAATTATCAACCATAAAAACTACCTCAGGATTAAGGATAAAACTCCTCTGCCTTTAAACACTGCAACTCCTACATTCACATCCAATTTGCTTATTTGATGTTGCATTTGGTCAGCAATAGCAAGATTGTATTTGCATGACCTTATTCTAACGTAAACCATTTCTTTTTAGTTTATCACTACTGAACTTAATGAAACGCAGCTATGCTGCACACTACTAACAGCAGCGTAAGCAGCATGAAAGCAGGAATGCCATGGCGTCAGATATTAATGCCGTTATATAAGCACATGCATACAATATTTAACAACATTTATGGACCCTTGTGACACATGGCATTATATCATGCTTACACTTTATCCTCATCCTTTCCTTTGATAGAGCAGAAGATAAGATAAGAAGGGGAAACGGTTGTTTATAAATGGTGCCATTACCTGTACACTGGACAAACTGGACGTGATTCACACTCTCTCTCTTCATACAGCGTGTCAGGACACTCTTGCCCTCCATTAGCAGACCTTTGAATGACGGTCCTGTATCGAGACTGTGTGACGGCGGTTGTGTTATCTGTTGAACATGAAACACAATCTTCACAGAAGTCTGTGTTCAGTAAGCTAAGTGAACATTTTCCAGAAGGAAGAGAAAGTAAAATGATACTGAGACAGATGGCTGGCACATAAAGTCTTGGACAACAAATAAAGGGAGACACAATGACAACAATGAGGGCTAATATCTGGAAGACATGGCTAGAAAACAAGAAGTCTCAAAGTTGATCTGATCCTGATTAGTGTGCCCTTGTGGCTGTGATGTCCTCCACTTCACTGCAGTCTGCTTTTGGACACACCACATTGTAATAGCTTCATTTGCCTCACGCTTCAAGGCTCATTACACTCACACTAATTACAAAACATTGAAAATGGTGCAATTAAGAAAGTGATTACATCATCAGCGGACCCAATGGACTACAGCATATTTACAGAGACAAGATGCCTGCTCAATTCTTTTAAAAACAATTACATACTTTTTGATTTCCAAGATATTTACACTACACATTTGAAACCCATTAAATATCAATTTTCCTCTTCATGTGTCAACTTATTATAATGGAAACTTAACACTGTCCATTACAGCAACTTAAACTTAAATACAATTATTGAATACACTGGAGACATGAGGTCAGAACACATGTGGCAACATATTCAAGTGTCTCTGATGACGTTGTTATAAATTATACTAAGTGCCTCATGTTTTGGAGTTATAAGCATTTATGACAAAAACATATTTTTCCAAATATGTAAGTTGTGCTGTTACAGTTACGATTAGGTTTTGATTCACTCCATTTACCTTTACAAAAATGTTGCTGTGTTACAAAGACGAAACATTTTCAAGCCAGATATCCTGACTGGTTGTGGAGCTTTTAGAAAGATGTTCCTAAAACTAAGTTCATAGATCGTGGAAAGACGAACCTGGCATACAGGTTGACGGGCAGGCTGTCCATTCACTGAAGGGTGTCACAATGCAGTCCTTCTTGCAGGGAAGCAGACAGGGTCTGACGGTTTCTGGACGAGAAGAATCTGAACACCTAAACATACAGACAAACAGTGGACTGAAAATCACACCCCAGGCAATAAATGTTAAACGTCTCACTGGCAACAGGACACGGCAGTGAAATAACTGCCCTGTCCCTGACATCACGCATCTCCCCACAGACAACATGACTGATTACATGTCCCCCTGCCTGTATGCTTAAGTAAGAGGCGCACAAATTTAGTCTTCTCAGAACAAATTGCTTTATGAGAAGAAAGTCTCTGACTATTCCAGTTCTTATGTTTCATGGTTCGTAACACATTGTCCATTTTAAAGCCAAGTTGTCTTAAAACTGCACTTATCAATACTTTTTATATTAACAAGAGATCAAATGACTGGAGTAAAAGGTGTCGCTCATAGGGACAAAACCACAGAGATCATCACCTGATTCTGCAGCTGTCCTCAGCCTCTTTTAAAACAGTGTTCACACGTGATTTTAACTTAATGTCCGCACAATGTCCCATTCTCTGTGTGACCCTGGTCCTGTTGGCGCGCTGTAGTGCAACACTTCCTATTGGTGATGGGGGGCGGCACTTGACACGTCATATGACGCGCTATGGTGCCACTGTGTTTTTGGCTTTACAGTACTCTTGTTTGTGGAATGACACATAATAAAATTACAACTACTGAATTTCTTACGAGTACTGCATAGCTTTTGTTAGCGGGAACAAGTTTAAGATCAGTTTAAATAACCAGGTGCCTGTATTTATCTCCCTGAACACATGTACACAACAGCCACAGTAGTATTTTCTTTGTAGCAAGGGAACTGAGCGTTCTGGGAGCAAAATCAATCCATCAGTCCACAGCATGCCTGCTAATTAAACCTGAGAAAAGTGAGAATATGCAAACTGTTTACCAATGAAGCATTCCTGCAACGCCAAGGACACGATTACCAGGTTTAAGGAGAATGTAACAGACTTTTACCAATTGTCCTAAAATAGAAAATAACCATGCATTTCTCCTCCATTTATGCTACTACATATCTGGTGCAAGCTATCTATAATGGGCCCTTTGGCTGTGCTGTATTTTGTGTGTCATGCAACCTTGAAGTGGAGTGGATTAATGCGGCTTTATGAAATCAAATAAGTCATAAGCTTTGATGTCTTCATCAACCCACAGCCAACCCCTCACTCACCCACCCACCCCCACACACACACAAACACACACATAGAAATTCCAATTTTTTTTCAGAGTAAGTGACTTCCTTTGCCCGACAACCAGATCCAGGTCTCACTAGAGACCCAGCATGGTGCCACATCCTACCGACTGCAGAAAGCCAGCATGCACAGGAATGAGATCAAAGTATGCCAAAGCATAAGGAGGCAAGATACATAAAACTCATCCTTCCCCAGCTTTATCCTTCCTCTTCTCTCTCCCTCTTTGCAGCTATGTATGCCAGAGGGCATGGCATGTGTGGTGCGCCCAGAATGAGGGAGTCAGACTTACAGTCAAGGCCACGGTGTTCAACTGTGACATGGTTGGGAACATTAAATGTCTCCTCACACATTATTTATTATCTCTTAAAACTGTAATTGCAATTGAATACCCAATTAATCACTCTCAATTCCAACTTAGTTCAACACTTAATATTTATTGCTAAATATTAGTGTGTGAGTGAGTTTTAACATGAGTGTGTTGTTACAGCCAAGCACTCAATTGGTTGATTTGCCCACTCAGAACACAGTTGATAACAACAGAAACTTTTTAAAAACTATATATTAAATAATATTGGCAACCTTTTTTAAGTGTAGTATCATCTATACTTTCATTTCAGAGTATGCGTACATGCAAAAATATAATTTGGTACCCATGTATAATAAAAATGATTAGAGGTTGCACTCTTATAGCTACTGCTTTTGTTCATGAATGAGTATTTTTATCTTTAATATGTTACGGGGGAACAGATATGAAACTAAAAACTAATGTAATGTTTTCTTGGCAGCTCTGTACTAATACCAAGAAAGACCCACTAGACTTTTATTGAGCCTCTGCTCACTGTGGAGATTACTGCTAAGAATGAAATGCTTAGATGTTTAGTGACTGAAGTGAAAAGCACAACATCAAATATATTCAAGGGACATCTGCTCCTCAGATAGGAATGGTTTATATTAAGGTAATTTTGATCAAAGTTTAAGATAAACACAGATTGAAGCAATGGAAATGGACCAGTCCGACTTACCCTTTCCAGCCCATAGCATAGTGTAAGTGTCTTCTGTGTATTAATCTTACCATACGACGGTTGATTTAATCATGCCAAATCTGCACTCTTCTCTATCGACAACCAAATCCTGATGTCTTGCACACAGAAATGCTCATCTTTGCAAATTATACACAATAACTCACTTGTTACTGACAGTCAAAATCAACTATGACGAATAGCAACATGCAGGGCCATGTGTTAGGTTCCATTCCATTAAATGAACACTTAAATGATTGAATTCACAGCATACTGTAAAGGTGAGATCTGTTGGTGGAGCAGAAATGACAGTTTCATTAAAGCCTCTGTGGTGGAAGACAGAACAGGCATGAGAAAAAAGCAAATCTATAATCCACTTTATGGCCCTGTCAATAATATATCGAGCTAAAGAAGGGGAAACTTTGTGAATTATTTATAAATCTATCTTCCTAGTGTGGGCTATAACATCATTACAGTGACAGCACAAAAGCCCTTAGCAGTGTTTGATATTGTATTGCTGAAAGAGGAGTAGATAATGGTGGAGCATAAGCAAAATGAATCTCAGGTTTAAAAAAAAAAAAAAAAATCCTAAACACAGGCAGAAAGCATAAAAGAAGAGCTCAGTGTACAAAGCTCTGGAGATATACTTTCACAGTGCATCAAGTCCTCTGGGTCATTTGTCAGAAAATAAAAAGCATACACTAAATATCTTCAAGGAAGACACATTTGGACTTGTGTTCTTAAATAATTTTTCTGTAACAGAAATATGATCACTTCTCAACTCTTGACCCAGATTTTACAAAGCTCTTTTGCTCTTCAACCATAATTTTTGTCGTTTCTCTGGGGACCCGTTTTCTGCTATCTAAAACGAAGGAGAGCAGCAGTGTCAGATAGGCATAGAAGAAGAAAATATTCTGTCAAAAGTGACATTTTATACTGGCAAAATGACTCAAGAACAGACATTTAGTTTGAGACAGTGAGACAAATATCTACGTTTAGACTGGGAAAAATATTCAGTGTTGTGCTGAAAAAACACATTCTTTCTTCATTTGTTCATGAGTGCATAGATGTCAGATTTATAGTGTGAACACAAATATGGAGTATGCTGATACACCTGTGGAGATTTTAGAACCATCCATCCATCGGATGCTAGGTTTAGTTTTCACATGTGAACAGACCAAACAAAAATTGACCGAATTCTCTCAAGTGCTACGGTGCAATGCAACCGACATGTGGAGACATGTGGCTCAATGCTATCCAGAGATAACATGAAAGAAGGAAGGAGGAAACCTATTGATTCATCTCCCAAGAGACATTGAGAAACATGCCTGTAACAACATACCTTCAGACTAACACATTAAACTGCAAAGACATGGTGCTGCCCCAAAAAACATCTCTCTTGTGATATAGAAAAATCAATGAAAGTCTTGACATGAATAGACATGTACAGTATAGATGTGCAGACCAATATCAAAAACTTGAGGTGATATATCAAACGAAATGTCAGGCAATATTATAGAATTGCAATACATATTTGCACTCTAATTTATACACATGAAAACTAATGCCAGATCAGAGTTTGTACCTTTTACTTATGACAGGTCCAACGTTCATCTTAGTGCAGCTGACTTTGCGGATCTGGACACCCACAGCACAGGTAGGGGTCCCATTCCAGAAGCTGGTTCCATTGAGATTCATCGAGGTATCCTCAATACAGGGACCCCAGGGTGAGGACTCCCAGTAGAACGCCGTGCAAGGATGGTCATTACAAACTCTCCACTCCTCCAAGGCTGGAGCTGTTGGACACTCCTTCCCTTCTGGCCACCAAGATACAAAAGGGAGCCACAGAGTCAAAGACATGAATCAATTACAATATGCTTGTTTTTGTGTTTAGATGCTTATGAGCAAGCTAAAACTAGTGTTAGTCCAACAAAGCAACATTATTAAGCGTATGTACAAAACTGAAATAAATTTCACCTACAGTACAAGCAGTTAGCTGCTGGGAGGCAAATGCTAACATTCATCGTTGACAGCTGGCAGCTGAGCAACAAAACAAATGTTTGTTCAAATTAGCTGAGCAGACGCTTTACAAGTTTTAACTTGTAGAATTTGAATTACAAATGAAAAGTCATAGTAAGGTCAGTGTACCAGAATTCAAACACTGCCCACAGCCACACCACAACACTCTTGTCCAGTCCCTGCTCCCTGTGCTCTGGTTGTCATTTATATAGTCCCTATGTGGACACAGACTTTACAGTTCCATATTGAACCTCAACGACAGAGTGCCACTGAAAGCACGAAATCTATGAAAGCTTCTACTAACCTAAACTGTGCTACAACAGGAAAAATAGCAAAAATCATAGTACACTTTTTTTGTTTTGTTTGGACATGACTTTATGCTCTATATTTGCTGTACTTAAATTAGTAATGTAACTAACATTACTAATTTAAGTATTCGATTTGCTTGCATTTAGTGTATATTAATGTCAAAAATGTGACCAAAAAGAAACTAGATCACAATAGAAAATCATAACTTTCATAAATTTTATATTGTGTCATTATATGTTTGGTAATTTTATATATATATATAAATATATATATATTATATTATTTTGTTATATCCATTTTGTGTCATTTTTGATTTTACAGGTAAATTTACATTTACACGTTTCTAAGTGTATTTGAGGTGTTAGGAGAGGAGGTGCTCTTCGAAGATATAAGTTATAAGATAAGATATAAGGACGCCCCTGCAATGATAGCACTCGGCAACTTGTTCCACCATCAGGGAACCACAAACGAGAACCGTCTGGACAAGTACATATGTGCAGATCCAGAAATCACTTTGAAGGCAAGCATTGGTGACTTGAATTTGATTATGTCGGCCATGAATAATCATGGAAGTTCGATGAGCAGTGGATTGACGTGTGCATTTAGGCTGATTGCAGACCAGACGGGCAGCCGCATTCAGGATCATCTGTACGGGTTTCACTGTGCGCAAGGGGAGGCCCGCCAGAGGAGCATTGCAGTAGTCGAGGCAAGAGATAACCATGGCCTGGACCAAGAGCTGGGTGGCGTACTTAGTCAAGTAAGGCCTGGTTTTTCTTATGTTGTATAGTGCAAAGCAGTACATCCGAGAAACGGATGCAACATAGTCAGAGAAGGATAGCTGGTCATCAAACATCACACCCAGGTTTCTCACTACCTTGGTTGGGGTAAGAGATGAAGATATTGCTATGGAGAGGAGACTGATTGACTGAGATGACTAAGAGTGGTATAGTTGGGTGTTATCAGCATAGCAGTGATATGAGAAGCAGTGCAAGTGGATAATTAGACCCAAGGAGGTGGTGTATATTGCAAAGAGAAGGTGTTCCAGTACCGATCCTTGGGGCACCCCTGTGGGCAAGGGATCAGATAAGGACGTTTGTCCTTGCCATGACACACTGAAGGAGCACCCAGTGAGATTGGGTTCAAACCAAGAAAGCGCTTTACCCAAGATGCCCACGTTTGAGAGTACAGACAGCAGGATACGGTTGTTACTTGTATCAAAGGCTGCTGATAGGTCCAGTAAGATAAGAACTGAGCCCCAGCTCTAGCTGACCTTAGGGCGTCCGTCAAAGGCAACAGAGCGGTGGAGGGGCCACTCTTAAAGCCTAACATTTCCTTGGTTCACACAAATATAAACATAAACCTATGCTAGTAAACATAGTGAAGCATACATATACACCATCCATATGCATCCATGCTTTTGAGAGTGGTGTGTAGGGAGCAATATCCTTAAAGTGTATTGTGCAGGGACTGTCCAATCTAAATGGAAGCAAAACAAGGAATAGTTCAATTGAAGCAGGAGCAAAGTTGTCATCTGGAGAGTGGTTAAGTGCTTCAAAGTGCACTGTGACTCATAAGGGCATGGATGAACCACAATCAAATAAACACCTTCCAGTCTGTTTTGTATTCCCCACCCTTTCCATACTGTTACAAACATGCAGGCATATAAACATAAATACAGTGACACACACACACACACACACACACACACACACACACACACACACACACACACACACACACACACACACACACACACCTCTGCCAGCAAGCAGATAGACCAGCAACATGGAAATAAACAACCTAGTGTGGAACCTGGCTTAAGCTATGAGATTCTTTCATCAGCTGTTATTGCAGATATGCATTTGGTTACAGGGATTAATGGGTAGAAGTTGGCTGCCAAGGCCCTGCTGTCTGACTTAAAAACACTACACTTGGAATACGAAGAAAAACACTGGCCAGAGAAAGAGCCCTCAATAATGGATGGTCAACTAAAACCTCAAATGTTTCAGATGAAAAATGTCTTAAATGAGACTTAAGTTTAGAGAAATAACAGCCAAAGTGAAGCCCCAGTGTCTATGAAAGCACACTGATAAATCCTTTGGCTCCAGCAATCTTCATTTTTTATTTGCTACGTTCATTTATTAGTTAGTCTACAATTGCTTTTTTAGTTTGGATTTCCAGTGACAATATCAATATTATATGTCCTGCTTGCACCTTGGAAAACATTATAGTGCAACATGTTTTCTTATTTATTGTACTAAGGCGGTTTTTGTAAATATCCTGAAATTTAAAAGAGTACTCTGCCGATCTAGCATTGCTGTGCAACAACATTGCAGGACTAACGATTGACAGATAAAGAAAAAGCATCCAAATCACTGCCACAGAACCAGAAATATTTTCTTTTTCATTGATTTTCCTTGTCAAAATCTGGTGCATACATTACTATATAACCACACTAGTTTATTTCATTTCTGTCCTTCTGAACACCTTGTCTACCTTTATATCTAAGTTTTTGTTTTTATAATTTTGTCCTGTAATTATTAGTATTTAGCCTTTTAGCCTATTCAGCCATGCTTCATCAACAGAATTACAAATCAAAATAAAATCACCACAGTAATGACTCTTTGTTAGACTCAAAACTGATATCTGTGAAGTTCTGCACAAAAGAAGCAAAGCAATAAACACAGCAACAAGAAATATTCATTAACATAGGGTGAAAAGCCAAAGAAGTCAGAGAGAATGTTGCATTACCTTTGCCTGGGATAGCTAACACAGTGCGAGTGCGGCTCTGTCTGCCCTCAGAGGTCTTAGTGGCACAGCTGTGTGAGCAGGGGGACCAGGAGGACCAAGAGCCAACCACACAGTCTGCAGGACAGGCAACCTCGCAGACCACTTCTGTGGGTGGGGGGTCGTCTGCACAGTGAGCGATGGGCACATCTTCCCCTGAGGAAGGCAATTTGAGATAATAAAATTGAAAAGGAGACATAAGTCTTAAGGGTTCAAACTGATCTTTAGAATCGAGACCCTAAAAACTGTTGCACTTCATGTATTTTTGAACCAACACACATTGGGACTGGATTAAAATCCAAATCCAGATAAAGGACATGCATGAAGTGACACATGTAAATGAGAAGCATAAAGGAAGTATGACCCTATTAGTAACAAGCAGCACAGTCATACATCTCAGATGACGGATTACATGATTACAGTCAGTTCTCTCTCTCATCCACATTGAAAATGCATATATCAAATATAACGAAGACACACTGATGCACAAATGACCTGCAGAGGTGAGCAGGTTTTCATTCTGATCACACCGAAAGTAGTGAAGTGTAAATGCAGTTCACATGGAGTGCAACAACTGGAACTACAGTATGTGGTCAGCTACTCTGACATGCCCGACTTGTCTCAGTTGTCTAGTTTCTGTTGTTTACCATTGTCTGTAAAGTCTGCATGTTCTTTCAAGAGTAGAGGGGAATGTGTACCTGAAAAGGTGTGCAGCTGAGACATGGGAAAAGATCATGAGCGGATCTTCTTATCGCAAGATAAACATGCAATCAGGCTAAATCTAGATAGATAGATAGATAGATAGATACTTTATTGAACACAACTAGAACATAAACACATGGTAATATAGGAGTATAAGATGAGCACATGGTTGTTAATAGTAGCAAGTTGAAGATGCATCTTTTGATGATTTTTTTCTTTTTAATTAATTTAATAACTTAAAAATTCATACAATCCTATATTGGCAAAGTTTGCCAAATGGAAAGTTTTTTTGATCCTTAGGGGGAAACGGATTTCCTCTTCAATAAAAGATCCAGATCAAATGTAAGTAGGCATCCTTCCTAAGTGTTAGAAAAATTCTGTCAAACACAAATATCATTTTATTTAAAGAAAATTATCAGGCCTTTCCATTGGTATTCTGAGCTAGTTTTAAAAGCTATCCTTCAGCCTTCAACTTGAAGCCATGTTATGAAATATTTATCACCGCTCCCAGTTAACTCTTCCGTTAGGAATGAACCAGCAAAGGACAGACACAGCCTTTTCTTTTTGCTGCACATGATAATGACTCTTCTATTGTGTGATTACACACTAAAATTATAGAAAACATCCTCACATGAATGTTAATGACTGAATTATACCCTTGGCAAAAAATTCTCTTGTATTTCTTGTATTTTTGGTTGAACCCTGCACAGAGGTAGCAAGTGCAAGGTCTCTGTCTAAGAGAGAGAGATCAATTTCAGAGACAGGGATGCCATCCTGATGTCAAAACAATGCCAGCAGCCGCCGAAGCATTGTTTTCAGATATACGCTCACATAGCAATATCATTAACTTGGCTGAACTCAGTCACTACATCATGGAATATGGCTTAACAATAACAACCCCAGGGCAGATTTGTTACCAATTTGTCTTTTTTTTTCTTCTCCAAGTGAATACCCTTGATGCAGAGGAGGGCAGTGAGGAGTGCAAACCTAGGTATTGTGTCATTCGATAGATGTGAAAGACTCCCTTGGGGAGTCTGAAAGTCTTTCGCCCATGAATTCAAAGCATCAGAGATTCCCAATCATCAAAGCAACAGCGTGTATACAGCCGGAGACGTTGGCGTCTGCTTGAAGTAATGGTGAAATCCTACAGGCTACTGTATGGAATGCATTATTACTGTCATTAGTGGAGATGTAGATGGACTGATATGGAGAGTTCTGCAGCTGAAGTTGAACAAAACTCAAAACTGGTCTAAGTGATACTTCTTCATTCTCAGCATTGACAATGTCTGTAATATGGCACAAGTGTAGGGATTTTATGATGAGTTAGTATTGAAAAGTACTGTAAAATAATGAATAAAACTAAAAGAAATGCCTCTGGGGGACCAGGAATCATTTTTACAATTATATATCTCTAAGTGCACCTAACTTAGCAGAGATCTGGAGGCTGCAGCACTTGAATAGGAATTGTGCTGATACTTTACATAACCATTTTGAACTGACAGTGAGACTTTAAGCTGTGTGGGAATTCATTATTTTGGCTCACCATGGCTCCCACCCAGGTAATTACAAAGTGAGCATAAAATGAAACAGATTTTGTGCCATAGACGCTGTGAATCAACCTTTCTCACCTACATTCAGAGGGCTGGACACTGACACTGTATCTGTACTATCTATACAGTTCCTGTGTAAATGTTGTGGAGATAAGAGACCCTTTTTGCTTTTGGAATGTGAAACAATGACAATGACATACAGAAAGACAAAAAACTTTAAATGAGAAACAGGAGCCTGTATTACTTTTACAGGAATGACAGGAGAACTCCAGTTTGTCCAATAGAGAAACCAAACCTATAGATTTTAGATAGAGGATATGATGACAGTCATATGTTTTATCTGTACTTTCACAAAAATGTGAAAGAATATATACAGTTTGACAACAACAATGCACTTTGTCAAGGTAGCATTTCCTTTTGTTTACAGCATTACAAAGCGAAACTGTCAAATCAATGTAATTCAAAAATACTGTATTAGTTTTCCATTCTGTTGTTATCAATTCATAATTCACACATACAAAACAATGATTGGTTATTTAAAGGTTATACATCAGAGTTCTCTTTCATCCAGTGGGAACATATTTTGGTTTCCTTACATGGTCAATCATTACTTCCTACACACTGTTATAAGGTTTTACAGTTTGAGATGAATCCATTGGCAGAAGCAGGACAGAATCCAGCCAAAATCAGTTTTCTCTACAAAGTATTATGTAGTGTGGAAGTTGAACCATCATTGAATTTACAGGTAAAGATAACGGTAAGATGATGATAGTCAGCAACACCTGTATAAGACACATGGTGTTGGCACTATATTTTGACACAATATAGTGCGTAAACTGATGTCATCAAGGCTCAGAACACAAACAGGCCCTATGTTCAGTTTATCCCTATTAAGGCAAAAATATATGTGTGGCTATTTCGACACATATACAATTACATCAGTTTACATCAAACAGATGTACAGAAGAGTATGGGATGTCATGCAAAACATAACAGGCTCTCTACTGCTCGAGGTGTATTTAAATATTTGTTTAGATGTATTACTGTCAACAGTCAAAGTATTTGCTATTCCTTTTCACAAACTGCGAAATCTAATTATTCAACAGTTGTTCTGCTTGAAAATCACACAGGACTAATGAATATATTAGCAAACAAAACTAACAAAAGATTCTGAAAGCTATGCCCGGAAACATTGCCTAAAGATAAATTATAGGAATCCAAAGCCACATCTCATGTATGCGTGCAAGTGTATGCGTGAGACTACATGTGTGTATGTGTGTGTGTGTGTGTGTGTGTGTGAGTGTGAGTGTGTGTGTGTATGTGTGTGTGTGTGTGTGTGTGTTGGGGGCGGGGGCGGGCGGGGGGGGGGGGACTGCAAATAGATGGCTGCCCTAGGGGTCCTTTTGCATTATTAATATAGGGATCTGTAGTTGGGGCTCTTACTCAGATATAATATCACTGCCTCCTGCATGCAATTTCAACATGATTTCTATTCTGCTCGCCCACCCACCAATTAACCTTCTTCATTGCTATTATTCAGGCAGATATAGAAAAAAACTGAAGTCTTTGCTTAAAAGTAAATAATCATGTCCACTCTCCACTCGGCAGCTTTTAAGACAAAGCTGGCAAGAAAAAAAAAAAAAGCAAATTGGACAAAATCACTGTGAACATTAAACTCTTACAATCACGAATAGAATAATATCTTTAGAACTTCCTTACTTCAGAATTTCATTATTGGTGACAGTCACACAGCTTAGTTTAGAGCTGTTTTCCTGAGTTCATCAAAACCTGAATATTGCTGACCAGTCATGCAGAGAGAGCTCAGGCTGATGGTAACCATACTGCTGGGTTATTGTCAGGCTCAAAAATGTCAGACCATCCGAAGTTTGGAGAGGTTAGCCAATATGCATCTATAAGGGGTCAGATCCGCCATGTCAGCTGTCAGTCACAGCTGCAACCCATATGTTTGAATCAGATTGTGCTGTGGTTGGGAGGTACTGTAGTTTGGGAGATGGGACTGACTACAAAGGTGTGTACGGTCACTGTGCGGTGAGTAGGAGCTGTCAAAACAACTGCACTAAGCCTGGGGCAAAAAGCTAGTGGGTTAAGCTAACTCAGCCCATTGTTTATATTTTGGTGTAGTTTACAGCCCAGTAATATCATTATGAAATATATCAAATGCCCATTAGTCTCCCTGTGTAAGATGCCATAAAATGTTTCACTCAGTTTGCAACAACTGTAGATTTACCTTAATCCAGCTCAAAACTGCAATGCAGACACTAACGTGAATAAGATGATGTTGCAGACAACACATTTTAAGATTTGATTAATTTAAAGGTTGCCTTAATTGGATATAACAACCTAACTCTCTGCTGTCATCAAAACACCTGCCTTAGGTGAGTCATAACCCAGTCAAGCTAAAAAGCAAACAAAAAAAAACCCCACATATATATTTGATACTCAGAACCTAGCAAATAGTAAATACAGCTTTACACAATTACAGTTTCTTCTTCTCTTAAACATTTAAAGGTCTAAACAGTGTTTATTATATTTACTTTTTAAACTTGTGAGGGAAGCATTGACAATATCTTGTAGAGTAAGAAAGAAATTTAATTGTACTTCACAATTTTAATGGAATAAAAAACTATTCCCCACACAGACAGTTAAACAAGGGCCAGAAAACCTCAAATTCAGTTGCTATTTAGTTGTTATAATCACGTGCTAAAGGAATTGCTAAATCACACCTCGACAACCTTACAATCATGCCAGAGCTGTCAAAAAGTCTTATACCATAAAGACTAACACTATTATATCAATAATAATGGGACTTCGCTGAAAGCTTTACAAAGACAGTCATCAATGTTTTATTTAACTTCAAACTTCTTAGATGAAATTATGTGTAAT